TGCCAGCACTCCCATTGTGATGCATTGGCTGCTGGCAAGCGATTCCAATGTATATGTAGCTGCCACAGGCAGATCAAGTGTCGGCTTTGATGGCGGGCCTATTAAACCGGCAAACACTTCACTCCCTTGTCTTGGCTCTCTTCATACTGAGACTATTATGGAAGGGGGAGACAGAACCGGACATATGTGCCCCATCCTCACGGAGTGTGCCATTGATCATGGCAAGCTCTCGAAGCTGCTGCTTCTTAAAGAAATCTTGTGATTCCTCCTGAATGAACGAAAGGATGAGAGACATGAACTTAGAATGTCAAAAAACTTGGGATTTGAAAGGGGAACAAGATACCACAGGTTTGAGCATATCTTCAAGGATCTCACGAACTTGCATCAGACGAGCATCAACAATTTCAACTGGCAGTTCAGCCTCTACCAGTATATGAAGTGGTTCATTCAAGTGTTCGTACCCTGGTTTCCCTCTCATCATCTCCTCCTGCAAAAGGTACACGGAAAGCTGCACAGTCAAGTTTTGCAAATTCCAGATTCAAGGAGACATTCAACTATCCTTATGCTGTTTTCCTGCTCTTCACCTTCTCTTACAGAAAATCATCACCAGAAGAGTAGAAAAAAAAAAAACAAAAAACTTGACAGTCGTGTCAAAATTCAAGTTGCTTCAAATTTGCAAGGACATGATCTTGACCATACAGGAGATACTGAGTCCAAGGTAATTGGTATAGCCAGAATAAAAGAGTATACAGACAAACTTGAAATTGATATTAGAGCAGATTAAGAGGATGCAGAATGTGGTGTAGCATCTCAATCTCTGTGACAAACAGCGGCAAAAGATAAGGAATAAAAGGTCACCAGATAAAGCTGCAAATGTGCAATTAACCTCTGGAAGTTAAATCATATGGAATCTAATTTTAGTATTCACCACATATGATGAGTGAATCAGCCAGAGCTCTGAAATAACCAATACTACATAAACTTGTTTGGAGACAATAATTACACGAATAATCTGAAAGAATAATTAAACATGATCTCCAAGTCAAAACTGACTAGGGAAATCTTTTTCATACATGGATTTTCCCTTTTCATATGGTTGGACTTTGATAAGTTGATGAGGTATACCCATAAATTTTTGTACACATGGATGATTGCAAGATCAGCAAAGCATGAAGTTTACCTTGGCTGAATCTTTGATGCTTCCCCTCCCTCTTATTAGTATGTGGCAGTCGGTATTTGCCTCCACTCGCTTTAGGGAGTTTCCTCGAGGACCAAGAAGCCGGCCAACAAAATTATACTATATCAACAGAAGAATTAAATAAAACTACCTTGTGAGTCTGAGTAGTAATAAAGCTCAGACTTAAACAAAGAGCAAGAACTTACATTAGGGAATTTGTCTATAGGAATATCAACCCTGATAGTTTTTTTAACAATGAGACCTGAAGAGCTACTTTGAGAGCCAAGCCAACCATGCGTAGATGAAGGCTGCATTGATCCCAACCTCTGCATATAACAGCTAATTGTTTTAGTGAAAGAAATTATAATAAACATGAAATAACAGATTTTGAGATGCATTGTGTATTTAGAAATTTTATTTTACATTGAAAGATTTTGAGATGGACAGGCATGAAGATCAAAGTTACAGATAAAAAGATGTTCAAATTCAAATGGAAACTTCTACTTCTATAAGGTCTAGCACAAAACAAACAAATGCAGATTAGAGTTCCTCCCTGTTGAAAATTTTTCTACTAAATGCAGTTTAGGAAGTATGAAACTAACATAAATGTAAAATTATGAACCATGCAATTGCCATTGACGTAAAATAAAAAAGCCTTAAGCATACTATGGAGATTATCGATCAGGAGCATCCATTATGCATTATGAAAACTCAGGATGCTTAAGAGTTTAGGCTATTGATCAATTCTAGCATCATTAAGTAAATGACAATCCAAAGCAACATTAGGCAAACAAATTCAACTTGCTTCCGAATTAGCAATCCTAAAGTGAGAAAGCATCAAGACACATAATGTGGTGGGGTCATGGTAGTCACACAAGTTTGCAACAGTCAAAACACAAAAAATGTAAATATGGCTCTGGAAGAGACAAAGAACCAAAAACAGGCATTAAATTTTAGCATAAATTGCTAGAACAGATCAGAATGTAAAAGTCAAACTAGAAGTCAGGATTTAAAAGTCAAACTATAAGTTCAAGTTAGCATGAAACATTAAAAATGCTTCTTTGAACAGTAAATTTAGTCAAAAGGAGGAATTATGTTAATGGTTAGTATCCATACTTCAGATTGAGACGCCAATGCCCAACCATTCATGTCAATTGCTCCTCCATTCGGAAATATTCCTCCAGTAGTCATCGGGCTACCATGTTCACTTTGATCTAAAAGAGATGCATTTCCCAAGAGCATTGTAACACGTATTATCTCTGTTTCAAATTTCAATTTCAAACATAAAATGTACAGGTTAGCATTCATTAAGAAATTAGCAATCAGTAAAAACACAGATATGGGTCAAACCAACAATCAGTTTCAATCAGTATGTCATTGGAACAATAAAATCAGTTTCATGTAACAAATTCTTAGTATTAGACAAGTACAAGTTACTCCACGTAAGTTACCATAAGTTTTTGTTAAAAGGCTCCATAAGACAAGCCAACATGTAGTGTCAATTACAGAAACATTAAGAAGAATTACAAAATACAATTAGTAAAGGAATCCAATAATTGGAACAAAGGATTGATGGTTAAGCTAGTCTTTTATTCTTCCTCCTTTTATTTTTGTCAACAAACTGAGATGATTAAAGCCATCTCATTTATTTGAATAAAGGGTCGATACTTAAGCTGGTCTTCTTTTATGCTTCCACCTTTTATTTTTGTCAAATGACATGAGTTACGCATGCAGAGTTAGAGTAAAGCAAAGCAGGTTTTGAATGTCAAGAATTTTTTTTTTTCTTTTATTGTTGTATCACAACTACTATTCCTAATTTTTATCTCAAAGGTGAAGGTTTTGGATGTCAAGAATTTCTTTTCTTTTATTGCTGTGTAGCAACTACCATTCTTGATTTTTATCTCAAAAGTGAATGCCTGACCTTCGTATCTTTGCGTGCCCGGAAATACTTAGGCTGAAACTTGTCTGCTGGCCGCTTAAAGTTGCATGTTTATTTGCTAAGATAAAGATCAGTGCAAAATATGTCTCGTTTAATGCCACAAACTCAAATGACATAATGAACCAAACCCAGAAAAGGAGAAATCTCTAGGAAGTATATTTGCCACAGAGCTTTCACCAAACAGTAGATGTACGTGTTTCAAGGGTTTTACCATGGCTTGTAAAGTACAACAATGATCAATATGACAATAGAAAATAGAGGGCAAGAAAAGCTCATGCTCTCCTTGAATCAGGGCAAGAAAATAGAGAGACCTAAGCATTTGTGCATAGGAGAGACATCATCCTCAAAAAGAATATTAGGTTAGAATCCTTTTAGTAGCACAAAGCAAGGCACTATTGAAACAAGTATGGAAGGTCTCTCAATGGACAAATCCAACATGATAATGCATCAGAATTAACTCAATTACAAGTACATCCGAATCTCACCCTGGTTCAGTAGACGATAACAATGTGGAAGGACAGGCATAAAAGGACTCAGCTTGTGACGCTCAGCCAGTAACTCCGAGAGATACCTGCAAAACAATTATCCTTTATGACAATCTTGGAGTTCCAATACTCCAAGTTTCGCAGACAGAACAACCCACGTACTGATGGTCACAACAATAACTCTAGGAAAATAGAACAGGTCACATATCAGATTTGACACTAATCCCAAATCCATCCAACAAGCAGAGGACGAAAAGATCCGAAAAATCTAAACTTTACATCGAAGAAACCTGGAAAATAGTCGACATATAGGAGTAACACACAAACCGAACCAGCATCCAATCGTCCAGAAGAATAAGTACAGTCAAAAAGAGCGCAAGTTCGAGACTTTAGATCGATATTCAAATGAAACAAAGAGAAGTAAGACGGTCGGAGATCCAAGAACGCCAGAATCAACCATTTCCTACAAAAGTCGGGTTTTGATAGGAAAGCGAGGCGTCTTAGATCGATATTCAAACGAAACAAAGAGAAGCAAGACGGTCGGAGATCGAAGAACGCCAGAATCAATCATTTCCAACAAAAATCAGGTTTTTGAGAGGGAAACGGGGCGTCTTACTTCTCCTGCTCAGCGAGGGCGCCGAGGGCGGAGCGGATGCCAGGGATGTGAGGGGAGTGCGGGGCGGTTGAGGGGGAAGGGGAGTAGGCCATGTATCTGCCGGAAGCCATGGTTCCGGCGCGATCGGCAGCGGATTCCGGCCAGGTTCGGGTCTTCGGCGACAGGGATCCCGGCGCGATCTCGATGCCCTGCGGCGGTCCAGGATCGGCTGGTAGAGTGGGCGAGGAGGGGAGAGAGAGCACAGTGACAACAACACAAGGCGAAGTATTTATAGCAAGCCGTAATAAAAGAGAGTCCAAGACAGAGAAATCACAGTTCACTCTGCCAGGCTACCTTTAATGGCTCTTCTGCAGTGTCCTCTGTAGAGGTGAATGCTGAAGCTTCTTGTTGTGGCTCAACCACATTGCTTTGGGTTGAGATTCATGTGATTGCACATTAAATTGCTTAGGCTTCATCTTTTTTGGAGTCTAATTATGATCCAGAAATAAGTTCTATCATTTTCTCATATTGTGTCCAAATGAAAACTCCTATCTTGATGAATTCAAGGAATTCGCCTTAGAAATAAGATGGATTCTTGTCTCTATAGACACAGATAGCTAAGACATTAAATTTCAACTTTCACCAAACTCAAATGCCAAACTTGTTGTACATTTTTATTTTCTTATTGATATTACATTAAATGTTATTTTCACATTAAATGACAAGGGAGAAGAGCATGATTTGATCTGGTCCGGTTCGATTGCAGACCGGATTGGTTTCGTTTTCCTACCAATTATACTCGGTTGTATCGCAACCATGTAGTATGCACGACGGGCGAAGCGAAGCCGCGGTAGTCGACGAGTTCACTCGATTCGCCGCACAAGTTTGGAGGGAACATCGACTCGTAGGTTAAAATTGCTTCGTTTTCCGTCTAATTGCGAACGATTTTGCTTTTGTTCCATAGGACTCTGATTTGCGTACCCGATCGTGCTCGCCTCGGGCCTTCCTGGAGAATTTGGCCCTTCTTAGGGCATGAAGACGGTAAATTATCCAAGTTTTGACCTTTGTTTCTTCTTCGTGGGTAGGGAAAGTGTCACGCAATCTTGAGTTTGATTATTAGCGTGTTGTAGGAATCATTTGTTGAAGTCGATTAGGATTCTTTTGTACTGTTGTTTCTCTATCGAAAGGAAACCTATTTTTGGTTTATTGGAGAGGACGACATGCTTTATTCGACCTTTTCTCCTATGAAAGAAGATGCTAAACTTCCCTTTGGAAGCATTATAATTATTTCTATTTTCTTTAGGTTATCGTGATCTTCATAGAATGTTCAAAGGTGCTAATTTGATTGTGTTGTTGTGGTTTATGCTCTTCCGTGCTTCGGTCACTATACTTGTTTTACAAGGACTCTGTCCTTCTGAAGAAACTTGTCTATTGCAAGCACTAGTTTTTTGATCATTGCCTTAATGACTTTGTTTTTCCTTTTCAGAAATATGTTCTTCTTCTCAAAAGTTAGCTCTTTAGAAATATGACTTTGTCTTTCTTTGCCATGTCTGATATCAGAATTACTATGTGTTTTTGTTATCAGCTAGAGCTCTTTCTTTGTTTCTGGATAAAGATTAGCTTTGTTAGAATTCACAAGATGGAGAAATGAACAAACGGCTACTACAGGCCTGAAAAGACTGCCTCAGGTTCATCACATTCAGAATGTGCTTACCACAAAAGAAGACAGATCTGGCGAGCATTTTAACATGTCATTGAATTATAAAAGCCACTTTGTCTTCATATAAGATGACACTATGTAAGAAGACAACATAAGACAACAAGCTCTAGCTGTGTTATTAAATGCTCATCGATACTTGGAGAATGATTAGTGAGATGAGCTAAATAAGAGAAGGTTATGGCTAAAACCTTGACCTTGTGGTTTTTATTTAGAGTAAATCTTTTCATATTACGAGGAACATATAAATCCATTGTTGTGTCAGGATTCATTATAAAGGAATTGAGTGATAATTAGATAGTTCTGAACATGTATAGACTTAGTTTGACTAATTTGCAATTGGACTTTGAGCTAGCTGCTATATTTTCTAACCTGAATAGTCCTTTATCCGTTGCTTTTGACATAATAAATGAAGATTAGATTTGCGCTAAGTTTGGCATGTCTACCAAGTATTGTCATGTTGTGGCATGAGGGTGTGCCAATTAGTTTCTGGCACTATATGATCTCATGTCAAACTACTAGTTGGCAGAGACAAAAAAAATTGTCCTAACCATATGTTGAGGTTGCCAGCATGAGTCCACATATTACCTTATGCTATGCTACCTTTTGATTCGTGTTGGCATAGTGTATGATAATTCTTGATGTCTACTTTATATATTAATCAATCAAGTTCTGCCAAATTTACGTTTTGTCTTTTTGCTGATGATGCTTTGCGAACAATCATTTTCTTGTCATTTCGGTTCAGTTAGCACTGGGGGCTTTACATGCTTAAAATCCAGCGATGTTCGTGGGAGTCTCAGTACAGACATTTTAAAGGTATCATCAAGGTTATCAGGCCTGTTGTTTGGTCAAGCTGATGTGTTTGGTTCTTTCTTTCTTGTACTCTTTTTATGCCTTTTTTTTTTCTAGTATTAAGGAAATTCTATATTTAAGCAACCCCTTTGAATTTTTTCTTGGCACACTTCAAGTACAAATAAGTGTGCAAGATTTTGAACTTGTTTTATATTCCTGTGTGGGATACTGAGGTGACAACCAAGCATTGAAAAATCTTTAGAGAAAATTACATTTGTAATCTTCCACTGTTGTTATCATGAAATGCTCCTTGCTTTTCCGAGAGTATACATTTTGATCTATCTTTTACTAGATTATGTAAAGGCTGACTGTTGTATCTGTAGACCATTCTAGTTGAAAGCAGATCCCGAGTAAACAAAATAAGAATTGTTATTACGGGTCATTTTTGTGTTACCCCTCTTGTTTTCCTGAGTTGAGAGTAGAATAGTTCATGAACAACAGTAGGGAGGAATAAGGGCAGGAAAAACGATGACATTGTAAACAAAACAAAAGATAAAAAGAAAATTATTCATAGGCAATAAATAGGATGGTGGAATTGAAGCACCGAAACAAGAAGCCAGATTGGATTAATGATCGAGATGGAATTAAGTCTTTCATTGAGCTGACCATGTTTCGTTTTGCTTTGGTATCTAATTTAATCTCTGTACTTTTTCCCTTCTCTCATGTGGATGAAACAAGGATAGAAGGAGCCTTCATTTCTGTGGTAAACTACTTTCCTCATACCTTAAGCCCTCTCAACTGTGCAGTTGGAACTGGCACTCACTCCATGATCAATTTGACCATCTGGAGTCTCTAAATTGGATGCCAACTATTTTGTTAAACAGTCATATTCATCTAGAAGAGAAATCAATCAATATATATATATATATATATTTCAACATTTAGCTTTGCATGTCAAACAAAACTAAAAATGTTTTTCCATTTTGCTTATTCTTCTCATGATGACACTGTCACTGTTATGCATCTTCTCTCCAAATTCTTGCAACAAAATAGAGCTGGCCATAAGAAACTTCCCACAGGTACATCCTGCTTGTTAAATAGTCATATTCATCTAGAAGAGAACTTAGTCAATATATATATTTTTCAACATTTAGCTTTGCATGTCAAACAAAACTAAAAATGTTTTTCCATTTTGCTTATTCTTCTCATGATGTCACTTTGTCACTATTATGCATCTTCTCCCCAAATTCTTGCAAGAAAATAGAGCTGGCCATAAGAAACTGCCCACAGGTACATCCTGCTTGTTAAACAGTCATATTCATCTAGAAGAGAAATAAGTCAATATGTATATTTTTCAACATTTAGCTTTGCATGTCAAACAAAACTAAAAATGTTTTTCCATTTTGCTTATTCTTCTCATGATGACACTGTCACTGTTATGCATCTCCAAATTCTTGCAAGAAAATAGAGCTGGCCATAAGAAACTGCCAATAGGTACATCCTGCAACTCATAGTTGGGTAAGCAACACTACTTTGCTACACCAAGATATTTTCCATTAACATGTATTTAGATTTCTTGTCCATAAAATCACCAGAACGAACTTAATGTATACTAATTGTAATTAGTTTTTTACAATTTTACGATATAAATAGGTCAACAAAGTTTTGGAGGGAAAATATTTTAAGTTTAAATTGACTGACATTGATCCTGAGATGATAGTCACTCTATCTGCTATGGTTCTCTAGAACATTTTGTTTAGCATCAACTATATGTACATTTTAGATTAAAATATACTGTCATTAATCATTTGAGTGGAGAATATAAATGCATAATGGACATGTTTCATCTCAGACCTACCTAATCTCTGCAGGTGTGTCAATACTGGATGTCACTTAAGCTCTGAACACAATGAGGTGGTTGTCCAAAGGTACACACTATGATCCCAACCATCATGATAATGTTGCCTTTGCCTTCTCTGCAATATCCATCAGTCAAAGATACAAGTCATATTCATAATAATTACATGTCATTCCGACACCACATTCCTGGTAATCAGCAAGTTATAATTCCCCCAACCCTATAGAAGAACAAACCCACTGTTTTCCTTTGTCCCATAAATTTTATTTTTATTCTCTCTCTCTCTCTCCACCTGTTTATACAGGTTGGGGCCTCTCTATAACTTGTCACATCAAGTGGGTAAATTGTGCAAGCACAAGCCTGCTACTCACTCTTCCCAAGAGTCCTTGTTACCAAATGTTGGCACTGGCACCCATGTGCCACAAAGTACTACAAAATTTCTCCAATCCCAACAAATCTTTAGAGGAGCTTTGACCCTTTCAAGAAGTAGATATACTATTCTACCCGAGACAAGCATTTAAAGTTTTCTGTCTCATGCGGGACATAACTTCTTAAAGGAGAAAAGGGATGAAACACATGATGGAGGCAATCTACATCCTCTTCATGCTCTCACAGTGTTGTAGTTACTGTTGTTCTGTCCCCACCTCTCAGGGGTTCACAGGAAAAGTTTGAGTTAGGCAAGAAGCTTGAGTTGGCCAACATACAATTAATGAAGCTTGACAAGAGGCCATTGGGCTCTCTCCACTTTGAACTGAAAGCATTACACACAATAAATAAAAGAGTGACAAGTTGCCATTGTGCTCTCCCCATGTGGAATTAAAAAGCACTGCATACAACAAATGAAGTGTGGCACTCTCTCTCTCTCTCTCTCTCTCTCTCTATCTATGTGGAATTGCAAGCACCTCAACAATCTGACCTTCCTAAATGGTGGTTGTAGGTGCAGGGGGGGCATACATGTGAGCCCTCATGTTCCTAGGGGCCAAATGTGAGACAAATAGTATCTCACATACTTTATTGATTCATGTGGTGCCAAAGAGCCAGGGAAGTTTATATTTTGTTCAACAGATGTGAGTCATTTGTTTATAGGACCGTATGGTAAGTGTCAATTTCCATCTTTCCATGTACCCTACACTGTTTGCATACTAGCTCATGCCACCTGCTTTTTACTGCACCCCAATGTACCCTCTGTTGCAACCTCTGTGCTCCTTCTCAATGGCCATTTCCCATCTCTTTCCCACTTCCCAACACCTTTAAAAGCCAGGCTAAAGGTAAAAAAAAGGTAACCTACTGACCATTTGGGTCTGTGACATGAATCACCTTTTGATGGAGCAGGAGGCCTATCTTCCTTCATATTGTTTTCTCTGGCTTTTCATCATGGATAGAAGAATTAATAATGTATGGAATATGGACATTGGACATGACAGCTAGTATTTGTTGAGCAATGTGCTCTGAACATGGTTTTGTACCCAAAAGTAAGTCATGTCTGAGTGACAAATTTCACATTCTACTATCTGATTTCTCTATGAATTTAAGAATTCATAATGTACAGACAGTATGGGCAGTGGAAATGACATAATAGCATTTGTTCCATCAACCATCTGTCTCCGGGATCCCTCTGGTGGAGCAATGAGCTGTTGACATGGTTTTGTGCCCTAAAGTAACCCCCTGCTGAGTGACAAGCTCTCATCCATCCCCTTTGATGATTGTCCACTTGAGGAATGTTGGGGACTCTGCACCAAGAATATCAGAGCTGGCCTGTATGGTTTGTACCTGTAAGTGCCTGAAGGGAACTGATGAGTAAGTACACTGACCATTTATTATGATAAGGATGGACTGCTCACCGCATGATTAACTTTGTTTTGTAAGCTTGCTGAAGGTCTCCCTCACCCCTCTTCTTGGCTCCACCTCTCAATTATGTAGTGAGATGCAGATGAAATCTCTTTATCAGTATGCTCTCTTTGATCATTCCCACTGTTTTCAGGCACCAAACTTCATCTGAATCAAGAAAATTTAAACTACGCTCATCTTATTTATTTTTCTTGGAAATCTAAATCTTCTCATTGTCAGAATGAAAAGGAAGAAAACTCTTCATATAGCTCTTAACTCTTTCATCCTCTCCACATATTTGTTCTATTCTTATCATTCTCTTTCACTATTAATATAACCATTATTCTTACAATGTTATTTATATGCTTTTTTGAACTTTATTAAAGTCTTGTAAGGACACGACACAAGGCACGAGCTCTTCTTGGTAGTCGCTAAGGCTAGAGAGCGGACGATCCGTTCTTACCCCTACATTTTCCAGGTAATCACAGTTTTACCACGGGTTGCCCTTCTATTATCGCAAACCTTTTTGAAATTACGTGGTTGCCCTTCTACATCTTAATAACCCATATATAGTCGAAAAAGCTGTGGCTGTCGCCACGTCATCAGAGCTCTGAGTCATAACGCAGCTCACGGAAGCTGAAGTGGACTCCAAATCCTCTACGGCACGAATCTTGGCGGCCGCGATCAAGGATCTACGTGCATCCCAAAGCATTCGGCCCCGCGAAGGAATCGGTGAAGCCCTAAGATGTTACGACGGCTCCGAGGTCGACACGTAGCGGGCAGTATGTGGGTTTGCGAGGGCGGCGCCAAATAGGCGGCGCGACTATTAGCGCACTCGGGGCGGACAACTAACTTGCGCCCCCGGCCGCAGCCGTAGGATCGATAGACCGCCTCGTGAGCACCGTCCAATCTGTGCGGCCCCCGTTCTCAAATCACGTGACGTCCGCCCCTCTCCGAAAAGCGAACGTATTAATGTTTTGTGAACACTTGTATTTTTAGAGAACTTGAAACAGTAAATATTATTATTTCTATATCTACACATAAAATACTCACAAATCAAGTAAAATTAAATGCATATCGCTCCAAATTGTGTAAGTTTTTATTCATCTAAATTTAAATTGTTCGACCAACCTGACTTTTATTTGACCGTTACTTGCAGCTTTAATTAACATTAATTTTATTATAACCATTTATGAAGGTAGGATTATTAATAATATTTTAGGCATTTTAAAATTCTATATTCTTTTAAAACTCAACTAATTTATCTTAATTTCTAAAATTATATGTATATTCCTTTAAAGTTATGATTTTTGCAGTTGTTATATATGCATAACTTACAAATATGACAATGGTCATTAATTTTTTTAATTAAGTTAATACACTAATTATAGTGCATATATATACCCCTAAAATAATAATTCTTAGGCTTAGGAAATAAAAAATCTAATAATGAATTAAATTAATATGAGACATTTTAGGTATTTAAAATTCATTGGTAGCTACACTTATTAGTGATGAATTTTATCAGATGGATGCTTACAGCATTATAATTTATGAAGGGTTTAAATATAATAATTCAAAGATATATATGTTATATTAAAATATAGAACATTCAAAGAATATATAACTCCTTTTTAAGGGATATATATATATAGTATATATATATAAATCCTTTAAAAAGGTGTGTGTATATATATATATATATATATACATATGTATATAGCCACCCAAAATATTAAGAGAGGGAAAAAAAGAATACGTAGAGGAGGAGAAGTAGCAGTGCAGTGAAGAAAGCGTGAAAGAGAGAGGCGAGCGTCGCAGCGCTCGACTTCTCTACCTTCCTCGAATCCTCTGATTTCCATCTTCCCTATCTTCGAAGCAAAAAGAAGGACACCACAGAAGACGAAACCCATTATAAACAGCAAAACGAAGCACGGAAGAGAAGGAGACGCCGAAGAATCGATCCGAAATCTTCGTCATTCGTCGCTGTTGACGGTAACACGCAGGGTTCCTCACGCTTTCTCCCGGCGTTGGCTCCCGGATCGCGGCTTGTTGAGGGGTTGGACGAGGTAGATGCTGGATTTCGCCGTGTTGCCCTCGTTGGTTTGGTGATTTGAGCTGCGGTCTCGGTTTCGCGGAGTTGGTTCCCTTCTGTTTCCTGGTGTTCCGGTTTTGATTGCTTCGTTCGGGTTTGGGCTTTGCAGGATTGGATTTTGAAGTCCTCGCTTTTATTGGATGGGTCTCTCGAAAAGAATGTTGTTTATTTTTTTGGGAAGATTTGTTCTCGAAAATAGAGGGGTGACCAATAATCGATCTTTTTGATGACGGATTTCGTTTGGAGTGGGGAATTTTATTGATGGGATTCGATAAATGTTGAACCATCTGTTGGTTCGAGGCATAACCTCTTTTCATCAAAAGGAAACCAACTGAACCAATGCAGGTCCTGGAAGTCCTATCTTAGCAAATATTACGTTTTTTTCGTGTGTATTGCGATCTTAGATTCTATGTTTTTCTTTCCCTTTTTCTTGGATATATTATATTTAGAGGTTAGCCGCGCTGGTTTTGGGGTTAGACTGTTGAGCTGAAAAGAGGACGACTCAAAAAAGACAACTTGTTTTTAGCTGTAAAGAAGATGATTCAAAGAGAAAAACTTGATGTCTAAAAATTTCCTCTTTGGCCTTCATCAGTTTGCGGGAATCTCCTTCGGTTGTTGAGTTCTGTGGATCTTTGCTGCTGCATTCCGGGATCGCTCGTTCAGGTGAGTTTAGTCTCTCTTGTGTCTTTCTTCTGGATATCGAGAATGTAGATGGGTAGATGAATTTATCTGGTTTCTTATTGCTGGTGCCAGTCGCAGCTTGTCGCTTTTGACACCTGAGGTCCTGGCAAAAGTTCTTCTTGTGCCTTGGAAGAAAAATGTCAGGTAGTTGTATACTAGTATGCTTGATTCTCACAAGACCAACAAAACGAAAATGTGGCATTGATTGTTTTTTCTTTCTAACTTCCGTAATGATGCAACGCGTCATAGCAGTGTTCCATGGAGAAGGTCTTGAAGGGTCATTCAATTATGAGGAGAGAAAGGAAAGGAGATCTGAAGTGGAGAACTCTGAGGACGAGCGAAGAAGAACAAGAATCGGATCTCTCAAGAAAAAAGCGTTGAATGCTTCCACTAGATTTACCCACTCTTTAAGGAAACGAGGAAGTAGGGTAGATTTCAGGGTTCCTCCTCTTTCAATAGAGGATGTCAGGGATGCTGACGAGGAGCGAGCAGTCTATTCATTTCGGCAACAGCTCATTGCAAAGAAATTGTTGCCTAACAAACATGATGACTATCACACGTTGCTCAGGTTAGAATGAAATGGAAATTTGCTCTTATTTTGATCCAATAGCTTCGGCATTCCTGTACGAGCATTGACTTCACATTCTTATCATTGGGCTAGACGGGATTTGCTAAACTTTGTTTACTTCAATCAGATTCCTCAAGGCTAGAAAGTTCGACTTCGAGAGAGCAACCCAGATGTGGGCTGAGATGCTTCAGTGGAGAAAAGAATTTGGGACAGATACAATTATGGAGGTAAGTTCATTGTTAAATTTCATGCTGCAATCCGACACATGGAAAAGCAATACCTAGGATCAGGTCACCTGGTGTACCTTGAATAACCAGAGAAATAGATGGAGACTTTAGTTAGTTTTTGTCCTGAAGCCTTTATGGAAGACAAACATGGTACTTTAACTTGTTGTATCGGTCAATATGTGGCCAATTTTGGTTTTAACACCCTGCAGTTTGAGAAGTCAAACTTTTATAAAGATTAATCAAAACCTCAATGCTCAATATTTACTGCACTTTGAGTCTAATTGCGCTAGTTCCCTTTTGATATTGTTTCACTTACACTTCAAGCTTCCTACATTATATTATCTTTGCATTTATTATTCATCTCATAAATTTTTTTTTTTACTATTTTCCATTCACAAGTAACACTCAAACATTAGCTTTATGTTGTCTATATAATCCTAGTCATCATCCAAGTAATCAGTAGAAAGCAATTACTTTAATACCTAACTGAAATGCCGCATACCCTATCTGCCCACAAAGTAAATCAGTGTTCTAAATTTGCAGTGGATATGAAAGATATAATGTCAGACCATCTATCAAATGCCTTTTCCTATCATTGAAAATGCAATCTACCATTCAACTTGACTTAATTGCTATATTTCAATTCTTTCAATCAATTTGTTTTTCAGTAAGAATGATTATGTCAAAATCTTTGAATTATTGAATCATATGTAGCATGTCATGGATTTCAATGGTGTTCCATGTAGAATTCCATGATCTGTGTACTTCTCCATGTAATCTACGGAGGTGTTTGGCATGGGACAGACTGATTAGTTGTGAATGTCTATTGTCAGCTGTTGTCATGGTCGGATATCAAAGAATTGTTATTTTCTTTAATTCAAATACATTTTTAATGGATGGTATATGACATACCATGACGATATAATCCATTGACTGTAGGACTTTGAATTTGATGAACTGGAGGATGTTGTGCACTATTATCCCCAAGGTTACCATGGAGTTGACAAGGAGGGAAGGCCAGTCTACATCGAGAGGCTTGGGAAAGCTGAGCCAAATAAGCTTATGAACATAACTACGATAGAGCGCTATTTGAAGTACCATGTACAAGAATTTGAGAGAGCCCTGAATGAGAAATTTCCTGCATGCTCCATTGCTTCCAAAAGACATATTGGTTCATCCACTACAATATTGGATGTACAAGGCGTGGTATTTTGCTTGCTTCTGTCACATTGACACATTATGATGCACATAGAAGCACAATTTATAATTTCTTATTAACCCTGCTATATTCTGGGTTTGATATTTTTTCGCAAATTGTCAGTAGCATGCATTGAAGGTTGACATCATCATCTCAAATGCAGGGCTTGAAGAATTTCGGCAAGACAGCAAGGGACCTGTTGCTCAATATGCAGAAAATAGATGGTGATTATTACCCCGAGGTACAATTGTCTAAGATATTTCTCGTGTGGCTCTTGGTGCTCAGATTTTTTTTGAAGTTTTTTTTGTTTGGACAGACACTACATCAATTGTTTATAGTTAATGCTGGCCATGGTTTTAAGCTTCTCTGGAACACTGTAAAAGGATTTCTGGATCCCAAAACTACTTCAAAGATACATGTAAGTAAGATAGCCATACAAGAAATACCATGATTTTTTGTTTCTTGATTCCCAACTATGGACGATGTCATGAAGTTTTGTGCAGGTTCTTGGAACAAAATATCAGAGTAGACTTCTGGAGGCAATAGACTCAAGGTTTGTGTGTATTCCTTTATCCGGCATACAATGTCTTATATTTTCTTCCTCTACTTTATATGGGTTCATTCCTCATCTTAGTAATATGCATTTGTCCACATCCACAGCCAACTACCAGATTTCCTTGGTGGTTCATGTGCATGCTATCATGAGGGAGGTTGTCTTAGATCTAATAAAGGACCTTGGAATGACCCAGTCATCATGAAGGTATACATCTCATGTCTAATTGGGCAAGATCTATTAAAACTTACTCAAGCTATGGTCAACTAATGGCAATGTCTTTATCAATTGAGGAAGATATAGTGATTAATGATGTCATTTTGACCTACAGCTAGTACAAGGTGTTGATGCAGCATTCCTAGGGGAGAGTGGGTATGTAATAGATGGAGAAAAAAGAGGTCACTCTTGTGCTAGACTGTACTTGTCGAAGGCAAGATTCTTAACACTCAAACCTTTTGACCTAGTTGATTACAAATGTTCTCTCCCTAATTTTCATTTTCTTTGCTTCTTTCGATGGCAGGGAAGAAGTTGTGACACATCTGCAGCTGAATCAGTATCAGATGCTGATGACCTTTATTCTCCCGAGCCGTCTATTGCCGAGTATGCTCCTCTGTCTCCAATACATAAAGAAGTAAGTTCCTAATACCTGAATACAGTTGATAAAACCCTAGGGTTTTATCTAAGAAAGTAGATAGGGATTTGATCGTTTTGAGGGGATCAACTTCTTTTTGTTTGTTCCGAGGAGATCAACCTCCAAGTTGGCCAAAGGCTTTGAATTGTATTTGATTGTTTGAGAAAAGTAACCAAAGGCATTACATATATATTGAGTTAATAATTATTAGCCAACTAATACTAGGATTTCTAACAAAAATAAAAATATTAATTCCTAATTTGCTATATCAAAGGACTCCTAAAACTCAAAAACTCCTACCATAACTAGGAAAAACTAAATAGGAAAATAAAGATTAATATCAAATCCCTAAAATTAAGGAATCCTAACATTTCTCGCCTCTGTAAAATAGCCTTGTCCTCAAAGCTGAGCAACAACGAATTCTGGAAACTTCTCCTTCAATGTTTTGCAAGAATCCCAGGTGGCATCTTTAATTAGTAAGTTGGCCCGTTGAACAAGCACCTTAGTGATAGGATATCTATGATGCATCACAACACGTCGATCAAGTATGGCTTGAGGTAGGATTTGAACCTCAACACTAAAAGAAATATCTAGCTGGTGTTACACCACATCATCCTCACCTAATTTCTTTGTAAGGCAAGAAACATGAAAAATTGGATGTATCTTAGAGCTTGTCGGCAAGTCTAAGCGATAAGCAACTGGGCCAATACATTCCAACACCTTATAAGGCCCAAAGAATCGAGGAGATAGCTTCATAGAAGATTGAACCTTTATACAAGTTTGCTTATAAGGCTGAAGTTAAAGAAAAACCCAATCATCCATTGCAAATTCTCGCTCACTACAATGCTTATCTGTTTGTTGCTTCATTCTAGCTTGTGAGACTGCAAGATTATCTCTTAGAAGTTAAATAATCTTATTCCTGTTAAGCAATTTCTTATCTACTTGATCAATCTTAGAAGAACCAAGCATGCATTTTGTAATCATGGGAGGAGGTTGACCATGAATCGCTTCAAAAGGAGTCATTTTAGTAGAAGAGTGATAAGTGGCACTGTACCACCATTCTGCTGCCCAAGGAAGCTATTTCATCCACTCCTTTGGTTTATCACTGGTAAAATATCTGAGATAGTTTTCTAGACATCTGTTCACCACTTCAGTTTGCCCATCTGTTTGCGGGTGATAAGCAGTACTTATATTTAATTAGATACACTGCAAGCAAAAGAGCTACTTTCAAAAGGTGCTAGTAAAAACTTTATCTCGATCACTAACAATGGAACGTGGAATTCCATGCAACTTCACTATATTCTTAACAAAAGTGCGAGCAACACTTGTAGCAATATAAGGATGTCGTACAACATACAAAAATGAGCATATTTTGTAAGGCGATCCACAACCACAAAGATGGTGGTTTTACCTGAAGATGGTGGAAGTCCGTCAATAAAATCCATGGATATATCGGTCCAAGCATCATCAGGAATAGGAAGAGGCTGAAGCAAACTAGGGGTAGCAATTGTCTCACCTTTGTGGCATTGGCAAACATCACGTTCTGTAACAAACTTCTTGATGGCTTTCTTCATATCCTTCTAATAAAAAAGTTGACAAATGCATTTATATGTACGAAGAAATCCAGAATGACTCGCAGTTGGTGATGAATGAAACTCCTTCAAAATTATATTCTGGCAAAAAGAATTTGGTGCCAAGACAATTTTGCTCTTGTAGCGCAAATCTATGAGATCCCAACTATAATTAGGAATAGAAGTTGGATCTTCTTTTAGCTTTTTAATAACAACTTGAATTTCAGGATGATATAACCATTCACTCCTAATAAGTTTAACTTGTTTTAAAAGGTGAGAAAAATAATCTCACAGTCAAAACCCAATAGCTTAGTGACTCATTTTTGTTGTTCTAAAGAAGAAACTCTTTGCACAAAAAAATATTTCAAGCTTTTGTGATCGGTGCATATTTGAAACCGTCGACCAATTCAATGAGGTCTCCGTTGAGTAACTGCATGAACAATGGCCAACATCTCCTTGTCATAAACAGATAAACTTAAATGAGATGGGAAAAATGTCTTACTAGTATAAGCAATTAGACGGTCTTCTTGCATTAGTACAACTCCAATACCCGCTCCAAAAGCATCAGATTTAATCACGAATAACTAGTTAAAATCTGGTAAAACGAGAACTAGCATAGTAGTTATTGCATACTTTAGAGAAATAAAAGCTTGAGTAGCTTTTTCTGTTCACTTAAATGTATTTTTCTTTAAAAGTGATGTCAAAGGAGCATTGATTTTGCCATAGTTCTTCACAAACTTTCGAGTTTCAACAGTAATTAATGAATCCCAAGAATTCTCACAGAGCCTTAATTGATTTTGGAATTGGCCAATCTTTCATTGTTTGGATTTTGGAAAGATCAATTGCAACGCCCTCTCGAGAAACAACATGGCCAAGATACTCTATCTCTGAGTATGCAAAACTGCATTTCGATTTCTTAACAAAAAGACAATGCTCATGAAGAAGGGTAAAAACAACCCGCAAATATAATAAATGACTTTCTAAAGATGGACTATATATCAGAATATCATCAAATAAAATCAGAACAAACTTACGACGATGAACTCGAACGATATCATTCATTAGACTCTGAAAAGTAGACAACGCATTGATTAATCCAAAATGCATTACCAGAAATTCATAGTGACCATCATGCTTTCTAAAAGCGGTTTTTTGAATATCATCTTCATCCACATAAATTTGGTGATAGCCCGATCGTAAATCCAGTTTAGTGAAAACTTGTGCACCTCCCAATTGGTTAACCCAAAATGCATTACTAAAAATTCATAGTGATCATCATGCTTTCTAAAGTGGTTTTTTGAATATCATCTTCATCCACACGAATTTGGTGATAGCCCAACTGTAAATCCAGTTCAGTGAAAACTTGTGCACCTCCTAATTCGTCAAGTAACTCATCCACCACTGGAATAGGATACTTGTCTTTCACTGTAATATTATCGAGTGCTCAATAATCTACACACATATATCAAGAACCATCTTTCTTTCTTACTAATAAGATTGGAGAGGAGTATGGACTAACACTAGCCTTTATGACCCTTGCTTCAAGCATCTTTTTAACGATTTTCTTTATCTTTGTCTTTTGAAAGTGTGGATATCAATAGGGCTGAACATTAGTTAGTGCACTCCCAAGCAGTAAAGAAATTTGGTGATCATGTGATCGAAGAGGTGGAAGTTCTTGTGGTTCTGCAAATATATTCATAAATTCTTCGAGTAATGAGTGAACATTTTCATCTTGTTCAGGTACTGTAGCTTCCTCTTTAATGCTCCGTAATTATACCAAAAATCCATGGTGTGCCTTTCGAAGAACCATTTCCATTCTATGGCTAGTAACGGTTGTGACCCTACTACCATGCTTTCCCTCTAGGATCACTTGCTTTCCATTGATAAAAAAATTCATAATTAATTTAGAAAATTTTCAAGAGATATCGCCCAGAGTTAATAACCACTTAATTCCAAGCATAATCTCATAGTCCTCCAATGGTAGTAAGAAAAAATCTACGAACAATTCTTGACCTTGCATAACAAGCTTTACTTTGGAACACTTACTATCGCAAATTAAAATTCGCCTATCAGCAACCTTTACCTCGAACTTATCATAATGTTCAATGCGATAGGTCAATCGTGCAGCAACCTTGTTATCCATAAAATTGTTGGTGCTACCAATATCAATTAAAATAGTAATAGACTGATGTTTCAAAAGCCCTTCAACTTACATAGTTTAAGGATTAGAGTAGCCAACTAATGCATGAACAGTATGTGTGACAAGTTTAATAATCTCATCATTATCAGTACCTTCATGATCAGAGTCTATAGCCTTATCCTCTGGTTCCTCCTCAATTGATTCAATCATCAAAAGTTTTCCTTGCTTGTATCGATGCTCCCTACTCCACATTTCATCACAATGCCAGCACAAACCCTTTGTTATTCGTTCTTTGAGTTTCTCTTGGGTCAGTCTTCTAATATTAGGATTTCAATTAGGAATAGTTGGAGTAGTTGACCTGCTAGTCACCTGTTTATTAACACTCTTGGTTTAGTGATTTTCCATATTAATTTTTTCTTCATGTAATCGAGCAAAAGAAATTGCAGTTGTCATAGTGCGAGGTTGGCGAGCCTTAACTTCACAACGAATGTCTGGATTAAGACCTTTAATGAATGTTACCACCCATTGTCTTTTAGATCAATCTTGAGCTTGATTTGATAGTCGTTCAAATCGACTTTGATACTTTAGCACAGTAGAAGTCTGGCAAGCTGCTTATCAACATTCTTATATTCGGATGATCCAAAACGAACAAGAAACCATTTTTTGAACTGCTCCCATGAGAAAACTCCATGGCAGGTTTCATATCAATCATACGATTGAATAGTATCCCCATCTAGTTAAATGAAAGCATTTTCCACTTTAGAATCTTCTTGAGTTTTATAAAAGCGAAAACATTTTCTGCTCTAAAAATCCAGCTGGTCAGATCTCCATCTTCCCATCTAGGAAATTTTACTTTCATGCAAGAGTAGCCATTATCATGCTCTTGGTAACCTCTTCCTGTGAATTCAGATCGATGTTTGTTTACTTGTAGAAGTCGAACTTCCATCTTGTTGAATTTTGCTAAAACTCTCAAACAAACTCATTTTGAAATCATTGAGAGTTTCTTCTAACCTGCTCTTAATTTTTGCTTACAATGCTTCAAATTGGGCTTTTATAGAATTGTTAGTAGTCATTGCGTATGATTGTAGATATGTAATTCCTAAGTTTTGTTTTTTATTTCGGGTCAAGGGCATGAGCACTGCTTACTTGGCGTTGAAGGTGAAGTCGCTGTTGGCGATGTGGACGTCGGGGCTTGTGGCAGCATCGGAGAGGAGATTGAGGGAACACTGAAGAAGCACCGCAAGAACTTTAGGAACACCAAGGAAACGCCAAGGACACACCGCAATAACTTTAGGAAGGCCAAGGACATGCTACTCTGATACTAGATAATAAAACCCTAGGATTTTATCTAAGAAAGTAGATAGCGATTTGATCGCTTCAAGGGGATCAATCTCTTTTTGATCGCTTCGAGACGATCAACCTCCAAGTTGGCCAAAGACTTTGAGTTATATTTGATTGCTTAAGAAAAGTAGCCAAAGACATTATATATAGAGAGAGTTATTAATCCTTAGCCAACTAGGCCTAGGATTTCTAACAAAAATAAAAATAACAATTCCCAATTTGCTATATCAAAGGATTCCTACCATAACTAAGAAAAACTAAATAAAAAAATAAAGATTAATATCAAATCCTTAAAATTAAGGAATCCTAACAACAGTACCTCATATTATTATTTTTCAAATTTTCTTAGCTTATGTTCTTGAGTATTAGGGGTTATGCTTTAGTGATGCTCACAGATGTATGGTGCTAAGTATAATTATTTTAATTTTAATTGGATAGCAGAAAACAGAATATGTAGAAAGCTATATCATAACATGGTATCAATCCCATCTACAGGGCGCCACATTACTTTGTAGATCATTTTCTTATAGTGTGGTATTATCATTTAATTCGTAACTAATGAAATGAATAAGCTCACAAAAAAATGATATATTCTCAGATATTGAGTGCTCGTAAGTTTTCTGGTTGCCATATCGGTTATTATCAGTATAACAAAGAGACCGGAGCTCATTGTCTGAAAATCCACAATATATCATTGAACTGTCGAGAATAATAAAAAGCCAATGAATAATTAAAAAAAAACCTATGAATCCGACCACTAAGTTCCACATCTAATTGCAAAATAAATGAAAAATGTCTGGCCTACATCAATAGTATACTGTCTATGCTTATTACAAAAATTTCTTTACTTATGCTTTAGTTCTATCTGCCGGTTTGGATCATTCCATTGTCAGAACTTTCATAATTCCTTTGTGATGATGTATCTTGATGGTTGAAAGTTGTTAATAACAACAATCGAACTGTAAAGTGCAAGTAAACCCTTACTAGAAAAACTTTCTGCAACTCATTCTACATCATCAAATTGGCAGGTCGGAGCAGCAGATTTTACACCGCATGATGACCATTTTGTAATGGTTGATAAAGATGTTGATATTGGCAGAAGAGGATCCAGGTTTTCTGTTAGGACAACCGAAGAACTAAAAGATCCTGACCTTGCCTCCTCAACTGCAGCATTGCATTCACTTGGTATGACATTTAATATACTCAACTGCAGCATTACAGGCCTCTTAATTGATGAGTCTTTCTGGTTGTGGTACTTGTCATGAAAAGGGAATCATGTGTACTGCTGGTGAAATCCTGATGAGCTGTTGTGCTTTTAGGGCAATCTTTCTTCTAATCACCTGGATATGCTCTTGTTGATAAATCAGAAATTCTTGGCACTTATACATGGCATTTATCATGATCTGTGTTTTGTGAGCTTTGTAGTCTGGTAGAACTACAGACATATCACTATGCAAATAAGAGCACAAAAGACAGAATAGTTCAATGGTTGATTAACTTGTCACTGGTAATAGACAGGACAATGACGACTTTGATGTGATACATCTTAAGAACCAGAACCATGGTTTCAACTCTTCTGCATTGTTTTGCTAAACTTTATTGGAATCCTTTTGTACTTCAATAAGTTGCAATTTTGTTTTGCTACATCCAAGGGCAATTTCTTTTACTTTCGAACTCCATGGTGAATTAAGCTAGCGTTATTTCTCTTTATTCGCTTATATATGTTTGAACTTCGAACTGTTAAAGACAACATCAAAAGTTTGCTACCTTAGTCTTCTTTTTAGCTTTTGTCCACTTGGATCAAATACACAGCGGTTGTGGCCATTTCTTCAGTCTCATATAAATTAATTTCTCATTCTTCAATTCCCAATGCAAATTCTCCTTGAATAATAGAATTATCCAGTTAGTTGCTCCATAATTTCTTCATTTGCCATTTCAATTTTCAATCCATGCAGGCTGTAGCCTAAGTACTCGTTGTTGAAAATTTTAAGGTTAAAATTACAGGAAAAAATGGTTTATCTCTGTATTAGGTTCTCCTGATAAGGAAAGAGTAGTTTACCATGGTGACACTAAGAAGAGCAAAGATCTCTCTGTGACGGTTCCATTTTGGTCATGCTGCAGACTCTGTTGGCATTCAAGCTACCAAAAAAAGGAAAAGTAGGCTGTTTTTTAATATGGTTGTTTTCCCCTCAAACTACAATTTCGGGAGCATTGCCTTATATTGAAGAAATAAATGTGCTACTTGTTTGCCAAGGATTTAGTGATAACTTGCACCAAAATGTGTATCAGATGTTTCTTTTATGATCAAGATAGTCCTATTTGTTTGTGCTTTGTAATATTTTATAATGGTCAAAATTTGTTTCACCTTGATGGTTTCAGGTTACCCTGTTGCTGATAGGCACAGTAACATCGGAAAAGATGCAGGAGAAGGAAAGTTGCGTTCTTTTGCAAGAGCATTGGTATCGTTCCTTGTAAAAATGCTATCCTTCTTGCGTATCTTACGGTCTAGACAAGATAGGAGGTTAGAGAATGTTCATCCATCAGATGCATTGGACTTGACATACAATAATAATTCAACTATGGAAACCATCAATGAAAACTGCATCACTTCTTACGTGGAACGTCTTCAAAAGCTTGAGTTGATCATGAATGAGCTTAGCAACAAGCCTGCAGAGATTCCTCAAGAAAAAGAACACATGATCCTGGATTCAATAGACAGGATAAAGTGTGTAGAGTATGATCTTCACAAGACAAATAAAGTAAGTCTTCTCTCATGTCAGATGATGACCACAGATAATACTATATGGTAATTCCATCAGAATGTTTTGGTTATGTGAGATAACCACATATGTTTTCTGGTGATTCAATCGGATATAGTTTGGTTTTGCACATTACTCTAAGCATTTTGGATGAGTGCTTGTAATTTTCTGAAAATCTTGATTCATGAAGTTCACTAGATGCTTTCAATGCTATAGTGCAAGTACTAGGCCGGTCAAAAGCACATAATCTATCTGCTGTTAAAACATTATGTCAAGTTACAGATGGCATAATCAATCAGGCCTGGGAGAGTGACCTTCATTTCTATAAAATCTTTATTAGGTTTGGGTTGTTAAAAGTTAAAACTGATTTGTTTCCCTCATCAAACAATACTTTTTATGCCTTTCTTTGTTATCTTTTTGTAGATTGTCCTGTTGCTAATCTTTAAATACGTAAATGCTGTTTTAGTTTTAGAGAAAAATCAGCTATGGCTGCTAACAGACTTTGATCAACCCAGCAACATTTTTTTTTCTAGTCAATATATGTCTGGATCACATGCAGGCATTGCCTGCTCTACCACGCAATATCTAAACTTTCTGTTTCCTTATGCTTGTATTTCCAAATGAACTTGATTTCTTGTGTCTTTTACACTTTGTTTTAATATCATTTTCATCATCAGGTACTGCAAGCGGCTGTGATGAAGCAAACAGAGATCGAAGCAACCTTGGAAGCCCTAGAAGACTCCAATATTAGGGTAAGCTAAAAGCAGACTAGAGGAAATAATTCATATGAAGTTTGTGCTAAAAATACTTTATGCAGTTGGCAAAATTCCTAACTTTTTGTTAATACCTCAAATCCATTTTTCTTTAGAAAAACTTAGATGATTTTAATTTTTTTTTCAAAAAGTGAATCTCATTATTGCTTCTGGTGAGTTTGCATGGCTTCTTTCTGCTAAATGCTTCAGCTTTAATATGTAGATCTAATTTCCTTTTTTCATTTTAGTGAAAACAGCTTACAAGACATCAAATTTGGAGTTTCTTAGATATGTAGTACGGTTCAAATTATTCAACTGTCAATTTAATTTTCTAGTTTTGTTTAGATCATCTTGCCCGAATTCTTCTTTTATTTCTTGAGAGTACTTTGAGCGTATGAATGCTGGTCTTGTTGGTAAAGCAAACTATTGGTAAGATAAGTACACACAATGAATCATTATGCTTGGAGCTCACAAGTCAAGCATCTTAATATATTTTTGGATTTCTCAGAAACTTGACATCCTGTTCGTCTGTCAAGTTAAAATTGTTGGAGTCTCCTTGCTTCCAAGTTCCAATATACTTGCATCGATATTTGACAGTTTTTGTTATCATTAATTCATTATTTTAGTGAAATTAAGATGAGCAGTGGAGATATTTAAAACATTTTATCAGAAAGTACTAAAAGATAAAATCAAGGGCATATTAGATTTGTTAGTCTAAGAGATATTTCTTATGAAGAAGGGGCGAGATGGTTAAAACAGCAAGTGTATTGGTGTTCTGTGTGAAATCTGAACAGTGCTGTTCCTTGTGTAGAATTCTGATGATACTTAATGGATCATGATGCTATATATAAGATTGACATATTCAAGAAATGACTGCAATTGGAATAAGAAGAATGGGACAGATAAGTGACACTGTAAGAAGAGAAAAACAAGAGAAATGATTTCTTTAGTGAAGTTGGAAGTCATGCCAATTCTGGTAAGATCAGAGAAGTTGTAAGATGTTAAATTGGTATTGAATGAAGAGCTACAACTGCGTTGATACCCGAAAAGGAAGAATCCACAAGCCTGGAAGGAGACTATTTGATCATATGGTGGGACTGTGGGACAGAACATGATGATCCTGCAGTGACCTGATGTGTTGTGGTTATGACTAGGATTCATCCAGCAAGCTCCATATTTGAGAATACAGATATTCTCTTTTGATTTTTCATTATTACAATCTTAGCTACTTGGTCAAACTTTATTCTTAGTCATTTTTATAATAGAGAAATATCCTTGATTGAAACTGATTGATTTCTGTGGAGTAAGATATGCATTACCTTTATAAGTTGTCATTCAACTTTGCTCTTTGGTATAGGCATAATACTCTATTTACTACAACAGGATTTCAATATCCATCACTTTGAATACTTTGTCAGTCTGTGTGTTTTGCAGTTAAAATTTTGTTACTAGTGAAATTGCAGTTCTGGTATTGGCTATTTGGCAGAAAACTAAAACTAATCCTAACGAGCTTGACTTTCTATTTCTTTGCAGGGGAAATTTTGTTGATATCTGAAGAAGAATAGCTGTACATCGATGAAACATTTATAAGGTCTGCAGCAAAGAGAATGCTTTCTACCATTCTTCACGTTTTCTTTTCTTTTACTTTGACTAAACTGCATGCGAATTGTTATGAGCAGATTGTTTATGGTATCAAATCAGGGGAAGAGGGTGTAGAAAGAGGAAAGGGAAAAGGAAGCATATCACAAATAACATATATTCTGAAAAAATTTTGGGTTTCATATTGTCTCTTTCCACCTGTTATTACTATGTATAAATTTAGACGCAATGCGAGAATATTATGCCTTTTCTTTTACACTTGAAGGGGGACCCATTGGTTCCTTCAAATTCTGGCCTACTTCAATACGATTTCTTCGTTGAGGAGCATTGGAAACAAAAATATGATGTTTGGTTTTCAAAATTAGATTTTATCTGTAACACATGTCGAATCCAACATTAGAAGGCAGGCTCTCTGTTGTTCTCGGCATAGTTGGAAGTTGGAACAAACATCTTGTACAAGTCTGTCATACACATTGTTGTTTATGATCCATATCCAACCTTTATATGTTGATCAAAAAAATCAGCTTATGCTGTGCACAGATGCTTTGCTATTGACGAAATCTAGCATAGTTGAGAAAGAGTTGCTGATAATTTGTTCAGTGCTTGAAGAATCTGCGACAAAGACCGATCTCTCACCCGTTCCGGTTTGGGTTTACTGGCTTGTGTAAATTCTCATAATCTTTGCATGTAAGCAAATCATGCCCTCTTATTGTCAGTGACAGGAAAGCTAATATTTGTGTTGAAGAGAAAAATTGATGTTGATTCACATTCCTTTCAGATGCAATAAGGTATTATTATCCAACCAGTTTATTTTAAAGCTCATTCTTCTCTCTACTAAATCCTGATGAGTCCAATCTTTGTTGATTTGGTTGCTCCTTTTAAACCCTATAATCTTGATTTTACTAATTGAAGCCAGCAGCAGTTCGCTGTAATTCCAGGTCACTTTATTCTTCCACATGGGGAAGAAGGCCATGATATCAAAAGAATAGTCACCAGAATCAATAAGAACAATTCACAAACCCAAAAAGTCCACCCAAGATTTACATGATAGTTCGATTCCCTTTATCTATATCCATAAAGAAAAGTCCAGATTATTCAATGTGAGAAAAATAAACTACAATGAAGAGAAATCTCTTAAAGTATCCTAAATCCAAGTCCAAAACATCTCAAGTAAAACCTAACTGATAAAAATTTAGACTTGGACATGAGGAGCATTGAGATACTACATGTCTATTTAATTGGTTTCTGTCCCTCTGGCTCCTGCTTCCATAGTGGCAAAAACATTCCAATTTGTGACAAGATCATTTTCTGGACCATATTAGAATTGTCACCGAGTGGCAATTTTTGAAGTCACGAAGACGAACATTTCGGCCTCCAGGTTGTTGCTAACCCTCATGGACCATATGAAGCTGGTTGATTCCTAATCCAGAAGACATTTTCGATTGAGCGTGCTGCAGAATACTACCAGTGCAATTAAATGCAGTGGCTCTACCATTCTCAGACTTTCTCTCAGTTCCTTGCAATCATTTGCCAGGAATGCAATTGAAGGAATCATCCTGTAAGGAGAATTTTGAGAAGTCACCTTCTGTAAGATACACCATCTGGTTAATTAACTGAATGACACTCATGAATTTCTTTCAGCAACTGGATGCACAAATCTTGCTATTTAATCTGTTCAACAGCGAACCTCTCTGTTTCATCTCGAGACCTGTGAAATAGAACAGATGGCAGTGAGGGGTGATAAAGAGAAATAAAAGGTTTTGTAAGCCACAAAAGCAGCAACAAGAACTAAATCCTGAAAACAGTGTAATAGAATAGGCCTTTTTCTTATTATACCATAATGTTTCATCCAGAGCATATTAGAATTAGATGATATCACAAAACAGTAAGTCTTGCATAAATCGGTGAGCAATGGAAGCTAAATACCACAGGGGCTATGGAAATTAAAGGACCTTGAACCTGATCCTATTAATTAGGCATCCAAAATATGTTAAAAATACATGTGGTATGAGTCTATGAGATGACTCGGAAAAAGATACCTACTCTTTGGAGATAAATTGCCAAGTAGACAATCGAGTGGTATCATAAGCAGCAGAAGTACAAATATCCATGTGCAGTAACAAGTGCAAGGCAGACACAAATGGTTGCATAGACACGTACAAGCTAATCATAAAAAATGATTTTGGATACTCGATTATGAAATTATTTCAAAATAATAACTCGATCCTTCTAGTATTGGTGGAATTACATATCAAAATCTATATCTATACACTAGAAACTGTGGTGGTAGTGACAAAAGAAATTGACGAGCAATTATGCTTGATACAAATGCACAACATATACCTCAACAGAGATGCAAAACTAACATCATCAGTCACATAAAAGAAGCGAACAGAGACCATTTTATAAACTAGTACATGAAAGTTATAGTCCAACAAAGACATTCATCTCGCATCTAATGCAACTCGTGTAATTTATGTGTGGTCATCTTTTTCTTGGAAGAATATTCTTATCTTAAAGTTCATGCACTTCAAGTCCAAACATCATTTCCAAAGCCAAGACTTTGCTAAAGAGTCACCTAGTTTTTAAGATTAATAACATAGGATGAAGGTTTACATATTGTAAATTTGTAACATAACACCTTTCAGCATAAGATAACCTAATTTATTAAACAAGAATCTATTGCTTGTAAATGCTCCAAGAACCTCTCATAAATTCAAAAGCACATCTGATCCATATATTTGCATGTAAATTGTCTTAAACTGTTGCCCGTACCTATTATATGTGTGAATTTAAGAATTATTACTTAAAGAGACACTTTACACAGAAAATAACATGAATGTGTCCCTTCATGTAAATGATCAAGATTGTGGTAGGTGAAAGGCTAAACATATTAGTTAAACAAAGCAATTCTTGAACTGCTCAACATTGGCCCACATGGCATCAATTTAGTCATACTCATAGCAATAAGACATACTTTCATGAATTGCCTAAATATATAGCACCTTAAATTGCAGAACTAACTTTGAAAAGGACATGGTGCAGCTTCTCAATTTCATATAACAAGATTCAACTACTCAATTTTATAACCAAAGAATCATTGTCATGAAGAATATTATGAAAGTACTGCCTACTTGAAGTACTTAAGTAAAAAATCTCACTTTTAAAAAATGCATTTTGTGGATCTTTGAATCATGTGGTATCAAGAAACAGAAATGCTAGATACCATGACTTAGTGCCTGACTTAGGAATGAGCTGTGAATGTGGCATGCAACCATGCACCCAGTGGCGAGAGGCAGCAGGATAAGGGACAATGTGCTTTAGATGCAGCGACATCTACTACTTATGCCTTCCGCCAGGAAATGAATCCTAGAATGCTACATTCTTAATCCGGAAAATAGTCATGCAATTTTTCAATAATTCTTCCTTGTTTTCAAAAATGATCTATTGGAGGTCTATTTCAATCAATGGATGGTGAGATGACTATGAACCCTTATCTGCATTTCAATAGAACCCAATTGTATGACCATAAGTAGTGAACCAGCCTCGGTTGGCTACCAACAAAAGTATTTATAGGTTGCAGTTGCACTAGGTCTCTTTGAAGTGATACAACCCCACCATGCTGGTAAGATATTTCTCCCGATCATTGAATAAGAATTATGGTAAAAGATTCTTGACAACATGCTACACATGAGACCCTGTCAAACAACTCTGTCAAGAAGAGAGACCTATTTGATCCAATTACCTGAAGTAACTAAAAACCTGTTCCTGACCATTCAGGTCACCTGAATAACCATGTTAACTCAAGCTAAGAGTTAAGGATCATGATAATGATTTATATAAGGAACAACAATTTCAAATTTTCAACTCACCTTAATGTGCCCATAAAGCAACAAACAGACGACCTTAGCTAAGCAGATTATATCAGCATTATCTACTTAACTCAGGCCAAACTTGCAAGCATTGGAAAATGAAAGAAGCCTACTGGAAAATTTTCACAATTGCCACCTTGAGAGTGTAAAACGAGTCTAATAATATATTTGACCAACAAAAAATAACAAATAAAAAGAAACCAACAAGAAATCATACAGGAAAATGATTCTTCCACCATCATATCACAGAATGAACTTCTCCATTTTTAATTAAAAAATTGCTTGTGTGACAAACTAAAAGATTCTTAAGTGGGCAGACTTTATGGGGCAGCTACAACATTTTAATAAAACTCAAGTAAGATGCATAATACAAGATTTTTTAATTTTAAAATATTGCACATCTGTGACCATTTTTCAGCAGAAGTGATCTCATGTAAGATGCTTTTCTCATTTTTTATCACTTTTTGCCAAAAATTCTTCTTTACTCTTGCTGCATGATATATTGACATGTATGCATAAGTATAAGCTGTCCGGTTTTTATTTTTCTATTTGAGTCTGAAGTTTCCTGTGCTTCTTGAGGAAGTCATGGATCTTGTGACATGGAAACCACACTTGATTCCATTCGTATCATGATCCAAGCTCAACTGACAATATTTTGTGACGAGAATCTTGCATTGACTCACCAAATTAGTAAATCGTGACAAATAACCTATTAACACAAATTTAGAGTAGATGAAATTATTTGCCCTATTCACAGACTCAAACTGATATGTTGAATGTTTAAAGGGACCACAAAACAAAGAATACATTAATGAAGTATACTACGCCCTACTTGCTCCTAAGTTGCTGATACAAAGAAAACATTGCAGATCTTCCGAGAATAATCAGAAGTCAAGAACAACAAATTTCAAAATTTATCCATGGGACTAGAATGTAAAAAAAAAAATCAGTCAGTAATGAAAGTAACAACAAGAAAGATTTACTTCCATTAACCTGTTGTGCCAAGTAACAAATTTTTAAATGAAAAATACAAATAATTCATGAGAAAGTTCATTATAACTAGCAGTAACCTGAAATTCAACCATCTGGCGTTCTCACAATCAGATGATTCTGACACTGAACCCAAAGAGCCCAAGCCTCAGCAGCCAATCCAGGATGATTTCTGCTGTCCAGTTATAAATTAAATAAATAGGTTGAAAAGAAACCATGGTCTTCTAACCAACGTGTGACATCAACATTATTCCAAATCTTCATTGGCTTGTTACCTACTTTGATACAATATGCCTTGAAAATTTTTAATTTCATTAATCGAATATGAAGGTATTCTTGCCTTAACCAACTTCATGATTTCCCTGGCATTTCGGTCTTTTGAGGTACTCATAAGGCCTTTTAGCAGCTTATCAATGGTGCCAACACTTGGAAACCAATTCTTTTCCATGCTATCCTTACACAACCTGAATGCCAAATCAAAGTTCCCTCCTTCACAGAGGTAATGAACCATGGTTTGATAAATTTTACTGTTTGGTTTGCATCCTCTTCCATGCATAGCATAGAAAACCCGCTTGGCCATCTCAAGCTCACCAATCATGCAAAAACCTTTGATGATCAAGTTATATGTCATTTCATCTGGTTGTATACCAGCATTACACATTAAGTGTGTTAAGTCATTGCCTTTCCAAGCCCTCCTTCGGTTGATCAAGAACTGTATTCTAACATTAAAAGTAGCTAAATTCGGTGAACAACCCCGAAGCACCATGAGATTCCATAACCCATCACCAATCTCACGACGTCCATGCTTGTAGAATGCAGACATCAGCGTCGTGTATGTGACAACATCTGGTTTCAGCCCAGCCTTCTCCATCTCCACCATTACCAAGTAAGCAGAATCCAAACGACCCATTTCACACATTGACTTGATGACAATATTATATGAAATCTCATCGAGCACAATCCCATACTTGTTAGCACACTGAATGAAAAACGTATGGACATCGTCAAATCTGCGGGCTTGTGACAGGACCTGAAGTGTGGCATTGAATGATTTGACGGTGCGGGGACATCCAAATAGATGCATTTGATGGAATGTCTGCAAGGCGTGATCAGGCATACCAGCTTTCCCATATAGCATTATGATCCGAACATTGAATCCTTCGCGAAGACCCTGGGGAAGAGTCTTCTGGTGCTCGAGCAAGTGTTCGATGAGGTCATATCGGCGAGCTCCAGCAAGGCGGGATACTGTGTCCTCAAATGCAAAACGATTTTCGACTACAAGACGGTTATGTGCATTTGATTTGAAGAGGTGGAAGAGCTTCTCTGGATCCTTCTCTGCCTTAAGCTTCACGATGGCAGGCTCACTGATGGGTAAGGGATCAGAAACAGTGTTGGTTGACGAGGACTCTATCTCGACTTGAGGCTTCAGCTTGTGATGCTTATTCAAAACGGAAGCTTTGCAAGCAGCGATAGTAGGGAAATTTTCAGGATTGTTAGACTCGTTAGCCAAAACTGAAAGATCGGTTTTCTTTCTTGACCTCGAGAGAGTGGCAGCTATAAAAGTCACACTAAAGGCATCAATCGCAGCACAAATTCGACGAATGGTATGAACAGATAGCATGATCCCTTCCTATCTTCCTATCCCAGTGAAAAGGAATCCTATATTTCGTTGCAGGCAGAAGTCAAAGATGAATCACAAAACTCATCAGACCGTCATGTGTCCATAGAACAAAACAACAAACAGATTGCGGGCAGGCATAGAAAACAACCTTTTCCAGATTTATTGACCTTGCACGCGCAAATCAAGCAAGAAAGACAGAACCTTTGTCTTCCCCTAACGAATCGTACAATCAAATCGCCATCTTCAACCGAGAAACAGGCGATAAACAGGTAAAAAGAGAATTTGTGAATCCGAAAAGACTGCAACTTTTGAGAACCAGACGATATCTAATGCAAGGATTAAATTATAAATCTAACGGCAAAGGAAACTTAGGGTTTCGCAAGAGTTAGTTTTTCGGGCACGAGAGCGGCGACAGAGAGAAGGAGTGAGAGAGAATAGGAGGGAACGATAGGCTGCGAGTCCTCCGCAGAGATGGCCTGCGTGGAGTCTTTAAACACCAGCGCCCACAAGTAACCCGTCCGGCCCGCTCTAGTTCCGGTTTGGTCCGATTGGACTATGAATCGGTCCATATCGAACCGGATTCGGTCGAATTGAGTTGGAACAAGAATCGAATATTTTGTTGGCTCGATCTCATGCTTTTTTTCTTATTTTGAATATTTACCTTAAAGAATTTCTGTAACACCACATTCTAAGTAGTATGTAATCATTTGAGTTGATACATAAACGTTTAAGTGAGAAAGAGTGTAATAAAATGGATTTTATCAATAATTTAATTTAAATATTTTGAACAAATAGTTTCGATAAAATTAATGAATTAATCATCAAGTTGTGATAATTTCACCTATTTAATATTTTATTTATCCCATCAGCCCAAATTATTTGTTATTTTATTAAAAATATGAAGTTATAACAACGATAAAATTTTTGAAAATATCTATAGATTTATGAATTCTCGCATAACGCTCTTTTTACCACCATAAAAGTTGATTTTGTCCCTTCTTTTGCATATAAGCAAATCAATCATTCGTTTGTTGTTTTCATTATTCTTATCAATGATCATAGCGAACGATAACATATCATGAAAATAAAATAAATAAATAAAATGAGGTAAGACGAGAGGAATGATACGATATGACCAAAGGATGATAGGACTTATATGTTTAGACGATCAAGAGCCGAACAAAGATAAAGACGAAGATGATTAAAGATAGACAAAAGTAATAGTCGAAAGATGAGAAACCCGCGAAAACATAGATGGCCATGACAAAGTGACATGTGAGATGGGGGTAGTGACAAATTAATTTTTTTTGAAAAAAAATACGAGGATATACTACGGATGAAAACTATTTTTTTTCTTCAAAAATTTATCTTAATAATAATAAATTTTATTATTACCATTATTGTCCTGTTGTTATCGAGCTCCGTTGTAAAAGGTTACACATCATCATCATCATCGACGCCAGCTCTGTTCTTTAACTTCCTTTGATGGTCAATTAACTTTAAGAAGGAACAGTTTAACTAAAACCCCGACCGCGGTTCAAAGAACGACACGGTTGAAGAGAACCCCATGTTCCCTCTCTCCGCCTCTCGTTCATGAACCCTAGTCCTGCCCGCGAGATCTCATCGCTCGGGTCCCCGGACCCGAACCTTCTTCCTTGTTCCATTGAGATCTGAATCGAGGGCGGGAGGGTCCTGAATCTTCTCGTCCACGATCGGCGGTGGCCGCCGAGATCCCGTCGTGGCAATGCAGGCCCAGGGGAGTGCTGCCCCCCGGCCGGAGGCGATCCTGGAGTGGCTCCAGAAGGAGATGGGCTACCCTTCGCCGCCGCCGTCCCCCGACCAGCTTCGCAAGATCTGCCGCGGGAACATGTTGCCCGTGTGGAGCTTCCTCCTGCAGAGGGTGCGGTCGGAGCGGACGGTGGCGACGGTCCGGAGGAATATGATGGTCCACGGAGTGGCGGCGGGGGAAGCGGGGAGGGGTAGGCGGAGGGAGGAGGAGAAGGGGCGGGCGGCGTTTAAGGATGGTTCCTCCGCGGAGGCTAGGGAGGTCGCTGTTCGGGAGAGGGAATTAGCCGAGGAGGAGGCTGATAGATTGAGGAACGTGGTCAGGCGGCAGCGGAAGGAGTTGAAGGCTCGGATGGTCGAGGTCGCTCGGGAGGAATCGGAGCGGAAGAGAATGCTCGATGAGAGGTCGAATGCAAGGTGAAAGTCGTCTTTGGTTCAGTGTTTCTTGTCCTTCCTTCTTACATACTTATCTTACTAGCAAACAACTTTAATTGGAATCGAGAAATTAACAAATCAGATGTACTACTGGAATTTTGCATCTTGGCTTTCTGTTTCTAAACAAGAAGATTTCCAACGAGTCAGAGATTTGGAAAGACTGGAAAGAATTAATGGCAATTCTTTCTTATTTAATTTTTTCCATAAGATAACCGTGGAAATTGAAGCAAAGAAGGGGTCAGATCGCTGAAACCCCTCTTTTGGTTATTGTTTTTTTTTTTTAAATTTAATTTCATCTATATATTCAAACACATACTTCTCTTAGTTGTTTGTGTATACTCACAGAATAGTAGCTTTAACGATTTATAATTTGACCAAATTCTTCATTTATCTTGTCAATTTTCCATGTTCCAATATGTTAGGCACAAGCAGGTGATTTTGGAGGCATATGATCAACAATGTGATGAGGCAGCAAAGATATTTGCCGAGTACCAAAGACGAATTCATCAGTATGTTGATCAAGCAAGGGACATCCGCAGGTTGATAACTGGTAGTGCTAATGATGTAGTTGATGATCTCCATGCTCCTGGTGAGAAAGCTGTTTATTCAGCTATAAAGGGCCTCAGATCATCAGATGATAGTGTTCTCATTGAAATGTCAAGAGAGAAAAATACTCGGAAGGCTTGTGAAACTCTTGCTGCTCATATGACTGAAAAGATCCGAACTACTTTTCCAGCATTTGAAGGAAGTGGTATCAGCATGAATTCCCAGATAGATGCTGCCAAATTAAGCCTTGATTTAGACGGCGAGATACCAGAAGATATTAAAGTAATCATAAGGGATGCACTTAAAAATCCTCCCCTTCTGCTTCAGTCAATTACTACATATGCTTTGCGGAGCAGTGCACTCATTCATAGAGAAACCGAGAAGATTGAAATTAGAGCTGTTGCAGAATCCTTGAGGTGCTTTAGTGAACTTTCAGTTTGTTTAGTTGCATTGAGTTCTTTTTTTCTTTTAAATTTTTTCATTGGATCACTATGTTGACTTACTTTAGCTATCAAATTATTGGCACCACAATCATGAAAGAGTTTAATTTTTCATCATTTCATGATACCTGTCTGTGACGGTAGATGTGATACTTTCTGGCCGCTGTATACTGCTTCAGTGTATGCCATGTATATGCTTTTGATTGATTATGTCATTATTGTTAATGATTCATGCTTTCTGCAAATATAGACTTTTATTGGCTCCATGCATGATATCTTTTGGTGTCATATCATATTGATAAATTTTGGAAGCCTTGTACTTCAGTCACTTTCACTTCCATTGTTATGCTTTCGTCTATACATTGCCAGCTTAACTAAGTCACCTGATTTTTCATTTAGATACAAGTATGAGAATGACAAAGTATCAGATGCTGCTTCTCCTGATTCAGGCTCACCCTTTCCATATCAAGCATATGGTAATGGTAAGACCGGAACTGAATTATCCAGCAATGGAAATTATGATCAACTTCTTGAAAGACAGGTACTCCTCATGATCCAAATATATACTGTGGATGTCTTTTGTTCCCATAATGTACTGATATCTACTTGGAAACCAAAAGTTATTCAGTTTAAAGTAAGCAAACACAATTTATATTATGGTATGTGTTCATCCATATGCAGCACATTAGTGATGTTATTATGCTCATGACCTTTTAAAGTGCTGATTTGGGTGGGTAGAAAATTGTAGTATATATCTTGAGATACACTGTGCCTTAAACGGAGTGGAGCTTGTTGATAAATAATTATGATACACAAATCTGCACTAGCTTCAGATGAATACACAGAACTAAAATCTTGATAGGACTTGGTGATGGTGAGGTAGAAATACTAGCAATGCCATTCCTTCAGAGAAATTGCATTAGTTCTATGATTTTGTAAAAGATGTATTTTTATATTAATCACAAGTTTAATGAAGAGTGAGACCAGATCCTTCCCCTACATGATAGACTGTTATGAAAATTTCAGTGGTAGTCCATTTCATTTCTCGAAATTACCTGACAGCTCTCTTGCCTTGCAGAAAGCACATGTACAACAATTTGTGGCCACTGAAGATGCATTGAACAAGGCTGCAGAAGCTAAAGCCTTATCTCATAAGCTTCTAATACGATTACCTGGGAGCAGTGATGTGGGTGCATTACAGATGCTTCCTACTGGAGATACCTCACAGAATGTAGCAAGCACACGGCATTTTGAGGTTCTTGAATTGTTTATGAATTATAATTTTGATATCATATTGAATATTGTTACTATTCTTGCTTTTCCATTTATCTGTTTGTTAAGTTTTTAGCAGACAGAATTGGATGGCCTTGTGACTGGTGGAGTTACTGTATTGTTTTACCATATGCGAAGGTTTTATTTGTTATATATATCAGTTATGGTATATAATTGTTTTATATTTTAAAGCATTGTGACCACCATGTTTTATATGTTTGTCTTGCTGATGTCACATGTATGATATATTCTATATATGCAAAGTGCGTTATGCCTTTAGAGAATGCTTAATTTTGAAAACTAGAAATGTAAGGTTCTAGGAAGCATCTCATGTATATTACTTCTATTACTTCTGTATGCCAGCAGCCAGTACGCATCTGGTTCAGGTTCATACCGGAGTGCTGACACCGATGGTGGGAGAGGAGGAGGAAATGATGGTGGGTAGGTGGGTGTTGGGCAGCTACTGAACATCAGAGAGAGGTTTTCTAACCCTAAAGCAAGAAAAAAAGAAGAATAAAGGTTTAACTGGACTGTACTTCCTGTAAAAGGCTATGCTTGTGTGCCATCATAGTGGTAAACACCACCTGGTATGGATCGGTTCGGGTGGTATTTAGAACCATGGTTTTAGGACTATAAGAAGAGTGTCTATCGAGTTTCTTATAGCTATAGGTTTAGCTCAAAGGTCTGCTGGGTCCTTGATTAATTTAGTTATAAATGAACTTTCTAGTAATCTACGAAAAATTATTTTGATTCACAAGATTTTGGTTAGAATTAATTTGAAGCTAAGGGTTTGATTGAGCAATGGAGACAAATGCTAGAAACTAAGGTTTATCTACTAAGTAGTATAAAGCCAAATGCAAAGTATAATTTAAGCAGTGCCGAGAAAAATTGAGAATGTAGTTTAGATTTTTAGGCAAAAAGTTCCTAGAAGCAAACTTTTTAAAGTACTGTAGATATTAACGAAGACAATATTTATTAAGTTAATGTGTAATGGTCAAGGTGGAGAGAAACATCAGGAGTTCTTTATGATCATAGCATGCCCCTTAGATTAACAGGGAAATTGTATGAGACAGCTGTAAATGTAGTACTTTTCTACTGGTGGATCATTATGTGCCCCAAATTGCTCAATATTCTTTTAACATCCAGCATCAATTTTGAGCTATCTTGGTTTATCTTCTCTTCTGCTCCACATTAATTTTTACAAATGTCATTCACATATAGATACTGGATTATGCTTTTCAATTAATTTTGTTATTATCTCATCATTGTGTTTTTTTGGTTCACTACGCAGTTAGAAGTCTTAGCCAGAGAAAGAGAAGTTGCTGGACTTCGAGCAAGCTTGAGTACGTTGACGTCTGAGGTGCAACGTTTAAACAAGTTGTGTGCAGAGTGGAAAGAAGCAGAAGTTTCTTTGAAGAAGAAATGGAAAAAAATAGAAGGGTTTGACACCCGTAGATCAGAGCTAGAGACAATTTATACTGCTCTTCTCAGGGCTAACTTGGTTAGAAAAGCATTTTAATCATCATCTCCTTGCATCTTTTACAGCAATTATTTTGTGGGATCATTGTAAACTATTTCAAGTTTTAATTGGTAATATGAAGACATATTCCATTTGCAAATTAGGTTGAGAAATGTACAGTGAAAGATGCATATTGTTTGTCATTAAAAGGTATAACTTAATATTCAAACAAACAACAGTAGTATATTAATATTTTATGTTGCTGACATGCCATTGCTTTGAAGTTCCAACTGTTAATTAGTTGGAAATGATTATCTGGTGAATCTCAATTTAAGCGGTCAACAGTCTTATTTCCAGTTCTTTCAATACATCAAATTTGCTTAATCTATTTTACACTCCTGAATATATTAGTCATCCATAAACAGAATTTCTTGTGCAAGCTATTTGGTTGTATTTGTGAATTTTAGTTATGACTAATTCTTACACTGAACATGCAGGCATTCTATGGATGCTTGAGAATCTTGATATATTACTTGTATGCACATTTTCTTCCGAAGACATTTTTTTGCTTGGTACTGAGTCTCAGTAATAAACTATGTACCTGACCAAAAACTCATTTTTAATTTTGTTCTTTCGAACATTTAGTGAAGTAAACTGAATTATTGTATGTTTACATCATTCAGAAAAAAGTACAATGACATCATTAAATTGCTGCACCTTTTTAATACCATGCTACAATTGTACTCCAGATGATTTCTGATATTTTCTGATAATAAACACCAGATGGTTATTTGTTGATGTATGACAGCTGATTACATTTTTTGTTAAACCCTCATGGAAGTTGTGGTTCTTTGGTCTTAAATAAGTGCATATATACCAGTATAAAGAATTAATTTGTTTTTATCTCTGCTATGCATTAGGAAGCATCAGCATTCTGGGAACAACAACCATTGGCTGCTCGAGAACATGCAGCAAGGACAATTATTCCAGCATGCACTACTGTAGTGAACATTTCAAACAGTGCGAAGGATCTCATAGAGAGAGAGTTGTCTTGCTTCTATCAAAGTTTGGACAATACCATCTACATGCTTCCTGCAACCCCACAGGTTGGTGATCTTGAAGATTTTCATTGCTGTGATAATGAGTTCAGGTTGATATATGTTTTCTTATTGTGAAGTCTTCTGTGTTGTTTATGGTGCATTAATTATTGTTAAGTAATGAATGTTTCATCTAGATTTTACTTTACATAGAATCAGATAATAGAAATATGTGGTTTTTGAAAATGTGGTATGCTTTTTTCTATCCCTAGAATTAGATGATAAAGCTAATTCTATTAATTTTTTTAACCATTATGGTCATTGTGATATTTATGTATTTTGGCATAAATCCGTTGCCAAAAAAAAAGAGATCTACTGTTTGTGTGTTTAGTCTTTTGTTCCTCATTTTTGTTGAAGTTTTCTCTTCTCTTTGATCAGGCTCTTGTGGAGTGCTTCAGTGCCCCTGGTGCAATAGGTCCAGAAGCACTTGCAGTTGCAGAAAAAAATGCTGCTATGTTAACAGCAAGAGCTGGTGCTAGAGATCCATCTGCAATTCCATCCATATGTCGTGTCTCTGCTGCTCTCCAGTATCGTTCTGGTAAGCTTTAATAAAGACATCTTCCCTGACAGCTTTATGCAAATACTGCACACTGACATAAATTGTGGATTTCTATGAATTATATTATGCATAGTTTAAATTTCTTCTTCCAAAGGAATATAACATTTCCATAGGGCTGCAATTTATCCACATTATATTGTATGGCCTTTCTAATGCCATCTTATTCTTTTATCGTCAGTAAAGTTTTCCAATTTTGTCCTCCCAGTTTATCATCCTGTTCTCAACATTTTGGAAACAAGCTCGGTTTTACAAAATGGAATATTGATTTGTATGCTATAATGTTGTAATAATTGCAGAATGGTTCATTTTTCACTTTTAGTTATGCAGTTGGACAATAAACCAAGGATTGAAATTTTGCACTGTGCTGAGCAGCGGTACGCTAGTGCATACTGAGCAGTACTAAATATATAAAATTAATATATAAAAAGGTATAAAATATATATCTTTTTTATATAAAAAAGATATAAAAATAAAAAATCAATATATAAAGATATAAAGAAGATGGCGTACCGAGCGGTCGTCTCGTCGCCTCGTTCTTGTTCTCATTGTCTCCTCGTCTGCGGCCTTCGACGTCAAGGAGCTGGGGAGAAGAAAGACGACATCGACATCGGAAGGTTCTTCGTGCGGCGACAGTGGATGAAGGAGACCGTTTGGAGATTAAGAAGGCCGGGGTCTTTGCTGCCTTCCTCGCAACCGCCTCTTTCGTTGCTCTCACTGCCGCCTCCCTTGATCCCTGCGTCTCCAGCTCCCCCTCCAAATAGGTACGACTCTTCTCATCGTTACCTACTAGATCGAGATCATCGAGGGAGGGCGGCACCGGATCAGGATCAAGAAAGGGCGTGGAAGACAAGTTTGCACCGACGGGCTCAGGTTCATCGAGATGCCGGGGACGGTGCATCGGTGCCTCCGCGACACTCTTTCTCAACGCTTCTCCCTCTTTCTTGATGCTTCTCCTTCTTCTTTGATGCTTCTCTCTCTTCTTCAAACGCCCTCTTCTTCCTCGCCTCGCCTTGTCACAGCTAAGCCGTTACCGCCTGATAGCGGGTGGTCCGTGTGCTGGTCAGCTGACAGACCGGTACATACTGCCCATACTAGGCGGTACGGAACGGTATTAAAAACCCTGCAATAAACAAACACAGTTTTTTTGTCAGTTAAGTTTTCCAATTTTGTCCTCCCAGTTTATTGCCTGTTCTCAACAATTTTGGAAAGAAGCATGGTTTTACAAATTGGACTGTTGATTTGTATGCTATAATGTTGTAAATTTTAATAATTGCAGAGTGGTTCATTTTTCACTTTTAGTGGACTCGAGCCGGCTTATGTTAGACACCTCTCCAACAATGCAATTGTCATTAAAAATAATCATTTACTTTAGTGCATTTAAATTTACGACAGTTGTTTCCCAAGGTTTATATAGTTGTGGAGTTGTGGTTACTTAGACCATGCTCTATCTTGGACTATCATAGAACAATTAGTTGTAAGGCCAGCTCTACTTTTTAAATAGAATGTTAGGTAGATTGGAAATTACATATACGCAGTAAAGAAAAGTTCTGCTGCGATGCTGAGTCTGAGATGAATGTGTGGGGTTATTAGAAAAGATTAAGAAGTATTCACATTTATGAACTGTGGGTTAGTCTCAATCGGGGATAAAATACACAAATCATTTAAGTAGCATGTAATCAAATGAGAGTTATAGATTGTTGGATGCAGTGGCAGATGATGTATTAGGACTAGTGATGTGAGAAAAGCGAGAAGAATTTGTTTGAAAAAATAAGATAGTTGATGGCTCTTATTTTGGCTGATGATACTATCCTCAATGAAACTCAGTGGCAGAAAAGACTCATGTAGCTGGCCTCAATAGATTGGACCTTACAGCTTCTTGCTTTTTCTACATCTTGGACTATCATACAGCCTAAGGTGAAGTATTCATTAAAATTAGAACCACTAAAATGCATATCAATTTAGAGATGACAGTGTTACAAATTTGCTTGATGTTTCATAAGAATGTGATGTTGAAGTATATATCTTTTTTTACACCCTGTCACATCTTGGTCTATTGCTTGTCCTATGGTAAGGTTTTTAATGGGTCGAACCAAGCATGATTGCCACTAAGCCTGGGTTGACCTCACTAGCTTTAAGGCTCATCTTAGCTTGATCTTAAAATCTCCAGGTATCTAGCTTGGCAGCTTGACCCAAATAGAAGAAGTCCCTGGCCCAGTCTGACTTCTGTACATCATCGTGGTTGTTTTCAAGTACCTCAACTGTTAATAGGAGTACAGATAAAAGACAGTAAATAGACAGACCCTCAAGGCTACCATCGTGTGGGGGACAGCAATGCTGACGATGCTGGCAAGTTGGTTTAAAGGAAACTTGCTGACTTTGAAAGGACTCTGGCTATTTTGAGATCAGTCAAATAGAAGCCAAGAAGGGCTGAGGCTGAAAGGCTGGTCATTTAAGTTCATTTTAGTCAGCCAGTGCAAGGCTTGGAGGCTAATGATACTAAGCCTTGTCCTGGCTCAGATATCAGAATGTGACCTTACTGTCATGCAGTTTTTGTTTAAAACACTTTTACTTAATTAGTGCATGTCAATTTGAAGACAGAAGTTGCATTGTTAGTGTTTCATTCATTTTTGAGGCATGGTTATTTACACCATTTTACATCTTGGTCTACATAGTAACCACTGGCTTCATGCTGTCTCATACATGAGAATAAGCTTTAAGCTCCTTGTCTAGTTCTTCTGTTTTTTCCTATGTCTCACTGTTAGCTTGGGAAATTACAGGACAGTTATAGTTATTTATATCAATTTTTTTCTCAATTAATGCTCACACTTTTGGAGAGAAATCACAACACACTTGTAGTAATGTATCAATATATTACTCAATCAATCAATGTATGTTTCACGTTTAGAGCATTCCTATTATGACTTGCAGGTTTCTTTGTGTAACAAAGATAATTATTTTTTGTTGTTACAACCTTTGTGTTTCTTGGTCCTGTCATTCTGAGTTTGTAATATGCAATTAGAACCATGGACTGCCGTTTTGCCTGGATTGGTATGAAACAGGCGTTACATACCAGTCTGGTGTTGAACTGATACACGGACTGCCCCCGTTTCGGGTGGTAGCTCCGACCCATGAAAAGAAAGATTTTTTTAATTAATACTCTTTAGCTGCCACCGATCACCTAAACGTGAGCCCTCGACACGCTTGCCTCTTGCTACTGTCTGTTGCTGTCCACCACCTGTCCGGTATGGTTCCTCCTCCTCCTCTTCTCCTCCATCTCTTCCTCCACCACCTCCTCTTCTTCCTCCTTTTTCTCCACTCCTTTCCTTCTTCATCTTCCTCCTCTTCCTCCACTTCCTCCACTGCCTCCTCTTCTTCCTTTCTCTATCTCCTTTTCTTCCTCCTTCTGCCCCTTCCTCCTCTCGTCTTACTTCTTCTTTCCTCTTCCTCCTACTTCCTCCACAGCCCCATCCTCTTCTCCTCATCCTTCCTCTTCGAGTCATCGGAATGTACCATGTGTCAATTCACCAGTACTGAATGATATTTACCAGTTCAACCTGGGAACAATATCGGTCCGGTACTCTTGATTAGAACTATATGTTTCTCTTGTTGTTCAACCTATGTGCTTCTTTATTGGAGTAGATTTGTATGCTATAGCTTTTTCATAACTTCAATTTTATTTGCCCTTATCATATTCATCTTGTTTTTGACTTGAAATTACAATTTATTGGTTTGATGACTTCTATTTGTAAATAGGTGTGGAAAATTTAGATGCTGGCTTAGCATCTGTTTTGGAGTCATTGGAGTTCTGTCTAAAGCTCCGGGGTTCTGAAGCTAGCATATTGGAGGATCTGTCCAAGGCAATTAATTTGGTTCATACTAGGCGGAACCTCGTTGAGAATGATCGCATTTTACTAAATCATGCGCATCGTGTGCAACGAGATTATGAAAGGTAAAGTTCTGCTGATTTATTATTTTAATCCTTAAAGGTCGTAAACATTAGTGGAACGATGGAATATGCTAGATGATGTCAAATTATAACTCTCTTTTTGTTCCACAGATTTGGGTTATCACCTTAATTCAGGTATTTACAAGAAATTTGGTTTGTTTGTGGTGGATCAGACATTTATTCTGCACTCTTAGATCTTATCTTCTGCCTACTTTTTGACTTTTTTTGGTGGATCAGTGATGATCATAACTAACCAACAAGACATATCATTAAATATTGGAAAGCAAGTAGTTTGTTTGTCGAGTCAACTCTGCGACAATCTATCCAATGAATGACTAATTGAAAATCACTTTACATGTCAGGATATAGATTAGAAGGATGGAACATGCATGAGTACCTGAGACTTTGGAAGATCTTCCATACAAAGGAATGTTTCCAAGTGTATCAATTAACTTCGAAAAAAGAAAGTTTATCAATTAACATCAGCCTTACTAGAACAATGTTCTTCTGTTATATTTTTGCTAGATAGAAGCTTCCATGATATAAGCTCTCTGCTAGTCAAAGCATGAATTATAGTGTTCTTTGTTTTTGTTTCAATTTTTGAAGTTACAAGAGTACTTCTTTAGGGCTTTATGCTATTTAGAGTAAGTTTTATGCGGATTGAGCATGTGGATAATGCAGAACTGCTATTTCTTGGTTGAGAACTTGCAGGATGGCTAATTATTGCTTAAAGTTGGCTGGTGAACACGAAAAAATTGTTGCAGAGAGATGGTTGTCGGAACTCAGAAAAGCTGTCTTGGATGGACAAAGATGCTTGGATAGTTGCCAACATGTCAGAGGCTTGGTAAGAAACTACTTCCTATCAATGTTTAGTTATTAGCTAGATCATAATTTGAATTGGAATTATTTGGCTTTGTTTTCAATATCTTAATGGACTTGACATCTATGAAGCATTGACACGCCGATCTTGCGAGCACATTGTGTTGGACATGTGTCGGACAAGGATACGTTGTTGACATGGCCAGACAAGGATACGTTGTTGACACGGCCGGACACGTGTCCAATTGTCTTATTTATTTATTTTTATCTATTTTGTTGGGCTCGGCATCGCACGCGTGAAATCTCTTTGTTGATGGATTCTTTGAGGAGTTCTTGCTTGTTACGTTATGAATAGGAATGTCGGTCGGCGTTAAATCTCGACCACCTGCCTCCACCACCTGTGTCCCGAAGCCTTCTTCCTCACCGGCGTGGACTGTGGAAGAGGCTCTGCTCTCGCCTCAACCTACCTGCATCCATCAGACCACCACGACATGGCCCTCGCAACCTCATCGGGGCCCAACGAAGCCTTCTTCCTCACCTTCTACCGCTACATCACAACGGACCATGCTGACCCATCCTTTACAGTTCACCTGCTTCTACTGTACCAAACCCTGTGCGATCCTCTCTTTCTGCTTCCTAGGACCCAGATTTCCCATTTCTGGTTTGATCTTTGGGTTTGGTTCCAGATTTCCCGCCCTTCTCCTTTCCGGATCTTGATTTATCGCAGGGTTTCTTTCGTAAGCCCTCTTGGTCACCTTGGAATTTGAATCTAGAAAGTAACACCATCTGGTTTGAGATCGGGTGTCACTTGTTTTTGCTTTCCCTGCATGAATTTGGGTGCACAGAAGAACAAAGATGGTCTCAAATTCTTTCATAAGAAAAAGTCTTCCGGTTCAACTGTGAATAATCATCGGTATGGTTCACATGGAATAGTGCTAAATTTGAGAAGCAAGATGCTTCCTCTCATAAATAAGAAGTTAGAGGGCACTGATTCTTTGGTTTCTGCAGATTCTTTGATTGTGGTTTAACTATTGTCTGAGCTCTTTGCTTTCTGCAAATTGTTAACTAAAACACGATTCTGGTTTATTTTTCACACAGACGAATGCCTAAAGGTTTTGTGGATTCTGTTCCACACTAGTGTCTTGGTATATTGATATCAATGGTATCTGACTTCTTATTAACATACTAATCCACCTAAAGAACTGTTAGTTCTACTTAGACTTCCACTATAGTTTAACACATTGTTCAGATTTTATGAGCATATATTTCGAAATTGTATTTTGTTGTTATCAAGAAACCACATACCATATGCTTTACTTGATGTTATATGTTTTCATATGGTAGAGATCATTTCCTTGTCCAATTTTTCCTGAGCTCATATTATATGGTTTGATTTCTGATTTTTTTATTGTGTTCTTTTATTATTTTCTTTTTCTGTTCCAGAGATGTTAGGCTCGGATGGAATTCTTGAACTTTATAATGAGGAATGTTATTAGTGTTAGTACTAAAAAACTTATATAAACTAATATATATATATATATATATATATATATATACACACACACACACATATATAATACACATATTCTCACCGTGTCCATGCCCTAATTTTTTTTTTAAAATGATGTATCGCCATGTCCGTGCTTCTTAGCTTGACATTTGCAGACACATGATATCTGCTTTTTTGGTTGTTCCTTGATGTTTTCACGATCTCAACTGTCGTATTCATCTACTTGCTGTGTGCTATTGTGTCTGTAGAAAGTAGTAAATCTTTGTTAGTGATCGTACTTTGAAATTTGTTATTTTACTCCTGTGTTGGTAGTATATATTTTTAAGATATTTAATCCCATATGGTGATATCACATTACACTGGAAAAAATTTCATGTTGCACATTTAGATTGCTTTCAACATTTCAACTATGCACTGCTTGAACTATGTGAGTTCAGTGTATTGATCTTGATCTATGCATGGATTCATTGCACAAGTGTTCATAAAGGACTCTTTTTGCAGGTCGACGAATGGTGGGAACAACCAGCAGCAACAGCTGTTGACTGGGTTACCATTGACGGGCAGAACATCGGTGCTTGGCTCAACTTGGTAAAGCAGCTTCAGATGGCGTTATATGACCATAAGCTCTTGTGAAATTAGAACCTGGATTGGATCAGACTAAGTTGTCATGAACACGCAACCTGTTCTTGTGTTTGGATCGACCTCCAGGCATTCCTGGCATAAGTTCATATGACTCTGTGCTTGTTTTCTACATTGGGACGCCTCAGGCCCTTGGTGATATGTTTGAAGGACACTTCTGATTGATGATGTATTGGTCTAACTGTACGATGTGTTATAATTTTTATTTCCAATTAGAACACGAGTGAGTGATTTGCAATGCGTTGCTGCCCTTTGTAATATTTTCTTGTATACTTGTAAGGAGTGACTTTCCATCACACTAACACTTTGTGCTGTTGCTTTCCTCCCAAGATGTGTGTTGCAGCCGTTGCCAGGGGAGAACCTCAACAGGAAGTCTGGTCTTGAGAATTCCACCTAAATAGAGATTCAATTTTCAGAAGGTAAAAAAGAGAAGTTGCTCAAGTTCATTTTTGATACATTTGCTAAATGATTTGGTTTCCTTTTTTTTTCTTTTTTTTTATCAGCCAAGCAAATAGTTGATTGATAGAGATTCCATGAAAAATGTCATGTAAAGTGCTTAAAAAAAATTTCAGATTCAGTATAAGATCACTAAACTTGCACAAAATGCACTATCAACTGTAAACTTCTAGCATGGGTTGGAGTAATTTGTTCTCATATGATGAGTTCAAGCAGCTCAGAATTGAGTTGCCTCGTTCTTCAACTTCAGCCCACTTGTATGCGACTTGTATCTTACAATTTGTATTTCATTGAACTTGAGTTGGCATATCCTAACAAATTTTCTGGTGTGGTATGCTATGTGATTGGGAAAAACACTTAATTCTTTTGGTAGAAATGCATAATTGTTGCATTTGTCTACAGCAGCAGAATTCCAGCATTGGTAAGGTATTTCATTCTCTATATGTTTGAGGCACCTTCTATTTGCTTCCTTAAAGATGAATTGATCTAGGAACTCAATGATCATGTTTCATTTGCATATTGTCATGTTTCTCAACCTCAGTTTCTGGTCTTACCCATGTACTTAAAAGTTACCCTTTGCCAACTAACTGAAAACATGAAAACCAGGTTTAGTTCCCTCAATTTCTTCCCCTTTTCTTTCTATTCAGAGGATTTGAGTACATAATTACTCTAATACAATTGTGTCTGAGGTAACCATTAACCATTAGTGCATGATCATGTGAATGTGGCATTTCATTAGCATCCAAGTCTTTTTAGTTCGTTGGGTTTAAATTGGAATCAGAGTGGACAAAAGCTCAACCAAGAGTGCATTAGCTTGAAGTTTTTGCTCAACACAATGGATAAGAGAGCAAAGCTAATTCATGAGCCAAATACCGGTTGGATCAGAAAGATCATCTGAACCAGTGAATTTTCCTTCGGTCTGACTTTAAACCTATTTTGACTTTGTTAATATCTTCTTCTTTTCGATTGGTACATCATTAGTACTTAGACTCAACATCAAGATTTATGAACTTTCTCTAACAGGCACAAGAAGCTCAAAGACTTGTGCTTCCATTCAATGCTCAAAGACCTCTGCAGATTAATTGCACAAACACGCAGCGTTTCCAGGGGTGATCTGGCCCATGTCTCGCACATCATCAGCTCGGGTAAGTTTCAGGGGTGATTCAGTCAAACCGAAACAGCATTTTTATCGCCACGCATGCCCTCGCACAGCCACTAAGGCCACCACACACACAAAACCCCTCGCAGAAAAATAACACAAATATCCTGCAACACTTCTCCCACCCCTTCGATTCTCCATAGATAGCTTATCCCACAGTTCAGTGGCGAAGGTATTCGGGTCCCGTCGGGTCCGCCTGTGGGGCCATAACTTGGCTCAGTCATGTGGTGGGTTTCGTCTGTAACAACTTATATTATTGCGAATTTGGAAAGCCACTCGCTGTTTGCCGAGAATAAAAAAAGAGGGCTAAACTCCGAAACCGTCCAAAGGTAGAGGAAGGCCTCTCCAATCATCGTCTCTCACTCGGGCGCCGCCGCTTCTTCCTCCCCGTCCCTTTTTCTCCCATTCCTTCGTCCTTCTGATCGCCGCCTCCTCGGGTTTCTGGTAATCCTCTCGCTCCCCTTGGCGCGCCTCTCTCTTCTCGAGGAGGTTCCCTCGCCGATCGTTCTCTTGGTAGCTCAATCGGAAGAGTTCCGATTTCCGTAAGGTCTTTCTATATGCTTTTGCGAATTGGTAGCCGGATTGTGCTCTTGTTATTTGCTAATTTCTTATCTTTCCTTTCTTTGTGTCGTTTGTGAAGGGGTGTTGTGATTGCCAAACGGTTGTTTCTGTTGATGAAATCTCGATCAAGAACGCTTTTGGCCTCTGTTTTCTTTCTTCTTCTTTTTTTTGTGTGAAAGCGTCTTCTGCTGTGTTATCTTCTCTCTTGTTTCGATCTATTTGTTGTTGCTTTCGGCATGCTGAAATATGACCGATGGTAGTACTGTCGCCATTACCTTCATATGGATGCAGAAGTTGTCGTGAATTCTTTCCTTTCCTTTTTCGTTAATTTTTAATTATAGTTTTATTTTCTCATTCTGTTCAAAACTCTTTGAATGAGTTGCATTGAACTTTTATTTTCATGGCAAAGCTTTTTATTGCCTTTTTGTCCTATAAAGAGTCACAATGGAGTGGGAGTTTTAGTGCTTGAACTAGTGTATATTCTTTAAATGACATTATCTTTAACAGATGGGTGGAAAATCTAACAAGGGAAAGAACAAGTGGAGAGCATTGAATTCCACTCCTGTTACTTCCTCAGAATCACAATCAAAGCCTCTTGATCCATTGACATCACCCAACGATGGTTCTGAAGCTGCAAAAGTATCTAATGGTAATGCCAATGGAGTTGAAGAGGCAAGGAATAAATCTCCTGCAGCGGATGGGAGTGCTGGTGACAAGGCACAGAATTCAGATGCTCCAGCAACAACCACCGATCAGGCAGAAGGTGCACTTCTTGTCCTTCATTTGATGTTGTACTTTCCATCATGCTTTGTTTGCCTCTTTTGGAATCAAATGAGTTTTTGCCCCAAAATAACAATTTATGCATGTTCATTTTTTTGCTCATCGATGTTGGACATCTCGTGACTTATTACAAGCTAAAAAGTGTAGTTGGTTCAATAAAAACTAAATGCCGTCTCCACAAAAAAGTTATATAATCAAAATCCTCAATTGATTTTGTTGCACGTAACACTCCAATCATTTATCCTTGGACCTTTTATCAGATATCCTGCTTTATTGTTCTCTTGTTGTTGTATTAATTTTCCTTTTTTTTCTCATTTCTGTTTCTTGAATGGATTTGTGTTTCGATTGGCTTCTTTATGTCCTTTGTGAAGAGAAGTGTTCTAATTGCCAAACATTGTAGTTTGGATTAAAGTTTATGATTGTATAAGAATTTAAGTTGCAACTGTCCTGGTCGTTATGGATCAGTGTGTGCCAGTCTGATGGCTAACTAGTACGCGAACTAGACAATTTCACTTGGTTCTATCCAAAGTAAAGCTGTTTACCTTGTAAGCTTACTGCACTGACTTTCTGGGTGATAAGCTGACCATCATTGAACTGTATTTATCATCTGGTACCAGTACCTATTATACTTTTTTGAAATCTATTTTTTCCTCTTGTTCTTCTCTTCTCCCATTGCTATTTATTCTCTTTCTGCATTGTCTTCTCCACATTAATGTCATTGCTCCTCGTCCTCCTCCCTCTCCTCATGTGGTTGGGTTGCCGTCTCTCCTCCATTCTACAGTATCATACCCTCCTCCTCTTCCTGTTGCTCACTCTCTGCTTTCTCTACTTGTAGCAGATTCTTTGGTACCAAGCAGTATCAACTTGTACCAACTCTCAGTACACTATATATTGCCAATACTTTACCACGGCTGATATTGTACAAGAGCAAGATTTTGATCCTTGCTATACTCCTTGTTATTGAGCTTGTTTGTAATATTCATAACATGTATTGTATATGTCTTTTAAGGTATCTAAATGCTACTGCAATTAATTTCTTGTTGGAGCTTTGCAACTAAAGCTAGCAAACATTATCTTCCTTTTCTCTTTGCTGCTAAGCAGGTGAGCTTCATCTCTACCCTGTCCCAGTCAAGACACTTTCTGGTGAGAAACTGGAGTTACAGGTTAGTTGCTCAAATATAGATGCTGGTGACACCTTTTTTCTGTGGCTATATAATCACATTTTTGGAATGGCATGGAATTAGTGAAGGGAACTTTTAATCTACTATACAACTTCACTTCTTTTTGCTGCCTTTGGATTCTAATTGACACTTGTAGTTACTTTACACATACAATCATATGAACATTCATGTTCTCAGTCTTGTACGTGCATGGTTGGATTTCTCATTGCCTTTGGGCATGGACATGTGTACATTATGATAAATAGCTTGTGGAGGCTTTGCTCTTGCTATAACAAGTGAGACCCCTTTTTCATTTTTCCCATGTCAGTTTCAATTGAATTTAACTTTGAACTTCGAGACACATGAAGTTCTTGTGGTGTTATCTTTTGCATGTTTACATGAACTCACAACTGCTACAATGATGTTAGATTGTACTACTTTCAAACTAGTCGTACAGGTGATATGGCAAGCTCCTTTCTGTACTCGGTTTTGGTAAGGATTTGGAACCTATTAGAGGCTTGACATCACTAGTTGTGAGATTATGCTAAATCTTTATTGTCTTGTGTAGTTGATTTAACCTGTCTTAAAACTCACTTGCCCTTGGTCTAGTTGGTTCCCCTCTACCTCTGTTTGTTGAATCTCTATAGGGTGTTGCTCAGTTTTTTGACTTGTGTAGTTGTCTATGTGGGATATTTCTCTCCTCTGTTACAGAAATTGATAGAAGATGTAAAGTGGCCTGTGGCTCAGCCATTTAGCTTTTCCACTGCGTCTTTACATCAGAATGATTGTAGCAACAAGAGTAGGTTATTGTTTCTCAGTCTTGTGTTTTCCTTGCTGATGTCATTTAATCTCTTAAGTTTCTTTCCATGATAAAGTTCAAGTTATTGATAAGCCTTTTCGATTGCATAGCAAATTAATTTTTGTTTGTAATCAAGTAATCATGTGTCAGTTTTGGTTTTGAATTTCAGCTAAGCCCAGGGGATTCTGTGATGGATATCAGACAGTTCCTTCTTGATGCTCCAGAGACATGTTTCTTTACATGCTATGATTTGAGGCTGCATACTAAAGATGGTTCTGTTTATCATTTAGAAGACTACAATGAAATTTCTGAAGTTGCAGATATTACTATTAGAGGTTGCTCCTTAGAGATGGTTGC